TCAAGCTTGGAAGACTGGGTCCCTCCCTCTCAGGCAGACAGTGCAGCCACCCCAGGAGGTAGAAAGATGAACCTCACAGAAGCCCCAACCTGAGCCCTCAGAAGCAAGGCAAATGCTAGGCGTCCATCTCTAGCTGGATGGAGTTGTCTCCATTCAGTGAAGATTATTTGGAAATATTATAGTGTATGTGTGGAGTGTCACTTTGGGTGGATTTTGAGATCCATTAATGTGCATTAAACCCACGTTTGAAATGAAGGAACATACATAAAAATGAACGAGCCTTTGGTCCTTGATGGAGACTGCTGCCATGGAGCTGCAATGACTGTTGTAAGTAAAGTAATGCATGATGATGTTATGTCAAAAATAAATTGAAGATGAGCCACCTGCTGGACATGATGAGTACTACAACTATAGATTACAGCTTATTATAAATTACTTTAAATCGGCCTGATGTTGCATCACAAAATGTGTCTTTGAATAAGAAACAATCCCTCAACAATGTTTTCTTACATGTCTCTTAGCGATGTAACTCCTGACCTTGACTCATACAGGCAGAATCAGTTGCATAAATACGAAATCCTCTGAAGACAGATGTCATCATATTTGATTTATATTCACTCAGGAGCCCTGAAGTACATTTGGTCTCATACTGCAACCAAATTTGGGACAGGCATATCTCGCCATTCTGACTTCTTCCCTCCACTCTGCACCCTCTACTGTTAAGACCAGGTACTGCAGTACACCACATCACAGAGGAGAGTGTAGAAACTCACAGTAACCTACACTCCAGGGTTCAGTTGGAGGCTTGTGACATAGACGCAAGATGGCCTTAAACAAACTTTTAATTTATGGTTCATTTCAAGTCTTGATAAAGTGACACAGAAATTGAATTAGGAGAAAATTAACAGGCTAAATAAGTACTTTGTGCTTGTGTGTGGGAAGGCTTTTGCAATTTATCTGGCTGTATATATTACATTCATTAGGTGGATGATTCTTCAGTGCAAATACAGGAGGTGACCTTAAAGTGTGTTTGATGAAAACAAACAGTATCACTATGTACCGGAAAGTTAGGGCATTTCTGTAATTACAGCAGACAGCTTCAAATGTATACAGTTGTTAAAAAAATGACCTACTTATTTATATGAGGGTGGTGCTGTGGGTTGAGCTGATGTCTGACACCTCCGGGTTGGGGATTCGAAGCCCGTCTCTGTTCTATATGTGTGGGGCTTGTGTGCTCTCCTCGTGTTGTGGAGCTTCCATGTTCTCCCCATGTTGTGTGTGGAGTTTGTGTGTTCTTCCCATGTCGTGTGTGGAGTTTGTGTGTTCTTCCCATGTTGTGTGTGGAGTTTGTGTTCTTCCCATGTCGTGTGTGGAGTTTGTGTTCTTCCCATGTCGTGTGTGGAGTTTGTGTTCTTCCCATGTCGTGTGTGGAGTTTGTATTCTTCCCATGTTGTGTGTGGAGTTTGTGTTCTTCCCATGTTGTGTGTGGAGTTCTGTCTGTGTTTTGCAGGTTTCCTACATGTGGTTTGGTGCATTTTTGACTCTGCATTGCCTGTAATGCATGTATTAGACATGCAGTGGACTGGCATCCCATTCAGGGTCTACCCCAGCCCCGTGCCCTGTGACGGACTGGCATCCCGTTCAGGATCTACCCCTGTGCTCAGTACTGCATGGGATAGGCTGTAGACTCTCACGCGTATTTGCATATATCCATTGACTATTTCATATTTTGTACATATTAATAAATGTGGCACGGGGGGGCAGTGGTTAGTACTATTGCCTCATACCTCTGGGACCAGGGTTCGAGTCTCTGCCATGGCTCCATGTGTGTGGAGTTTGCATGCTCTCCCTGAGTCATCATGGGGTTTCCTCTGGATACTCCGGTTTCCCCCCACAGTCCAAAAACACACTGAGGTTAATTGCCGGTACCAGATTATCCATAGGTGTGAGTGATTGGTGTGTGAGTATCCCCTGTGATGGACTTGTGCCCCACCCTGGGTTGTTCCCTGCCTTGTGCCCATAGGCCCTGAACCCCCCCTGCCCCCAACCTTGAATAGGACAGAAAATGGATGGATGGGTGTTACATGTCTCATCCTGTCCTTTGTTTGTTTGCGTCTCTTGGGGAGCTGCTGTCCCAAACTCATTGTACTGTCATGTATGAATGAAGAACTGAATCTTGAATCTTGAACCCTGAATGAGATAAGGTATTTGAACGATGTTTGGATACGTTAACACTGTAAAGGCTTGAAATGAAGCTGAATATTAAAGACAAAATAGATATTCAATTGTATGTAATTATATTCAGATGCAAAATTAGAAGACGTTTATTCTCCAGAAGGAAATCTGTGTGTATGTATGTGTGTATAGGTGTGTGTGTTTGTGTGTCGGTCAGATTGTACAGTAATGTAAATGTACTCACAATGTGATAAAAACCTGTTATTTGGATGTTGGGGGGGGGGGGACATTTTTTCCTCACAAACGCAATTTTCTAAAAATCTGTGACTGCAATCAAAAAAACAAAAAATGCCAAAAGTCTTGTATTTTGTTACTTATGGTTAAGGTTAGGGCTGGGTAGGGCTTAAGGTCATTAGTGGGATTATGGTTTTACCCATAGAAATGAATGGATGGTCCCCACAAAGATGTGAGTACAGGTGTGTGTGTGTGTATGTGTATGTAAATGTGTGTGTGTATTTATTTGTGTGTTTGTGAATGCCTCACGCACACACTCCGTCTGCTGGAGATAAACAGCCATCGCCTCATTGTCCTGGGCATCTGCTGCCACATGCTTTGGCAGGAGCGCATCTGGCTCAGCTTTGAGAAAATCTGGATAAGTGACCCGTTCAGGTCCCACCTCAACCGCCAGGTACATCCAGTGTTACATCGCAGGCAATGTGAAGGATGTGACCACATCTCCCTTTGCTTTCAGCTGAAGCAGCTATTCATTTACTGCCATGTCCCAGATTATAAAATAAGGTGACATTTGTCGCAATGTCATGAGAAAAATGCTACTCCGTTTTTACTTTGACTTCTTGACGTGTTTAGAGGAATTTACACAACATCCTGAAAATGAATGATGAAGCCACATGACCCTGACGGGAATCGCTGCACCGTGAGTGATAAATGCTGCCAGGTGGGCGGGCAGTGGGGGCCTCTTTGCTGTAACTAGTAAGGTTGCTCATTTTTTGAAGGAACTGAGACTGATATATTGGCTGTTCTTTGCCTTTTTTTTAGTTTGACCCACACGACCGCCTCCGCAGCATTTGTTTCCCAGCCTTTGCCACCATCGTGCCCCCACAAGCTGCGAGCCGCCTTGGCTTCCTGTCCCTGCTCCGGGGCCCGAGGCACTTTCCATCCAGTAAAGAGGAGAGAAGCAGACGGTGACTCCAGAAACTCTCTGCAGGCTTCAGCTTCCCCCGTGGGTGGGTCTGCATGATCACTCTGTGCCTACCGGACCCAAGGTCGAGTTTCTGAACTTGGTTGTGCACAGTGGCGGCGTGTCTGATGCAGTCATGCCAACCTAGCTGCAATGATCACGGTCATATGGGCGATAAAAAAACTGTTGGGGGGGGGGAGAGCGTGGTAGGTGCTGACGATAGTAAAAATTGTTAAGGGAGGGTATAGTATAAATTGTCAGCTGGGGAAACCCTCTCAAAAGATGTTGCTCTGTGCAATTGCCAGCATTCGCCACTGTAAGGGCAGTGCACATATGCACTGCCCTTACAGAAAATGTCATCAAGATTATTCAGTGATATTTACTTGATATTTCACACATTGATTTAAAATGCTTTGCTAAGACGATGTTTTCATGTTGCCAGCGTAGATTTTGACCCCCGTACTAATGACAGATTAAATTAGGGAAAGGTAGGCCTACTTATTGTTCTAAATAATAGAAACAATAGGAAATAGTATCTTATAATATCTTTAAACTGTTTAAACAGCCCAAAATAAACAAATTAAGATAATTTACACATGCTATAGTAGGGAAATGATCCCGGTGCAGTTTACAGACAACAAGGGACTCTACTGTAAACTGAAGACGCAGAAAGCCATAAACTATAGGGCCCATGAGGGGTGAAAATGAGGCATGATGGTTAAATTATGATAGAAGCTGAAACTACATGGGAGAAAAGTCAAGTGGATACAAACAAATTTGTACAACAATCAAACCGAACCATTAATAGGTAACACAGGCAAGAATCAAATGCAATGACCAGTTGAGGAACAGGACAGGGGCAGGAACTTACATGCACAGATAATGAGGACATGATGAGGGAAAGGTGTGGGCCATTGCTAATTACGCCTCTGGCCTGCCGCAAACTCACAACAGTAGGGATGCTCAGGTCCAGCCATCTGCTTACTCCATTAAGCCACACAGCAGCCTGTGGAGCAGGGTAACAAACTAGAAAACAGGACAATGCCAACCTAAGGAAACATCGGGACAACAGGATGATCAGCGACATCTGCTGGTCAAACGGGAAAATGACTGACCGAACAGGACAAGACAGGAACCAATCCTGACATGGCACAGGGCTGAAAGGAGAACTCAGATTAAAAGTAGATTAAATTCAGTTGTAAAGTAAATTACTGCAATTTAATTAAGTTCTCATTTGGAAGAAATTAATTCAATTTCAGGAGAACCGTAATGTGCAGTTTGAGAAACGCAGTTTTAAACATATTGTCCCTTGTACTCATTATCCCTCGTATCACAGTGTTCCCACCCACAATCATAATGAGATTATTATTAAAAGCATATTTTTATTTTTCCTGCAGGACTTTGGCATTCCGCTGCCATACTTCATACTTAGTGTATGCTTTCCGGATGCGTCAGCTTGATGCCAACATTATAACTATGAAGACTACAAAATAATTATGTCATTAGCGACGCTGTAATAAATAAATGATGAATGTCGTAAAATGACTGCAAAAGTACATGTTTTAAAAAGTTTCTTGATTTGCACGTATGGGAGTCGGCCTCCTGAGTCCCGCCTCTTCGGGGGTGCTGGGAGAGAATGGAAGCAATAAACTGTGCGGCCCCTTTAAGGCCGCGGCATCCGCGGACCGTCCGCTTTATGGATTATTTAACTAGTGCATTTCTCCTCTCAGCCGGCTATCCAGCTCACTCCGGGTAACCAGTCGTTCTACGCGAACAATCTATTTAAACACCTTCAATTTAGTGTACAAGTTAGTTTTCATCTATTTTTTTTTCTCATCCAGGTTTAAAACGGTAAACCGGTCCCGAAGTCAAGAACTTGATTATGGGAAAAGTGCACGCGAAGTTATGCGGGATAAATACGAGACGGGGGTGAATGCACTGTGACATTTCTGTTCTTTTTATATATTTATTGTCCCGGGCTTTCAGACCGAATGACAACGACGCTCCGACACCTGTAGCCTCCCCAAACGGAGGTCCACCGCTGTGAAACAAAGTCACGTCGGCGTCATCTCATGTGATAAACTACTATCCGTGCTGCCGATACTGCGACGCATGCACATGCAATGGCTGACAGCGCGTGAAGAGTTAGCCAGAGGTCCGACGGGGACGCGTTTGGATCCGCCGGGCCAGTTAATGTAGGGGCAGCATCATGGTGGTGGAGAGAACGCTGCTGGCTGCACGCCAAGGGGACCTTCAGACCCTTAAAATACTGCAGGCGGAGAAGGCGCTGCACGCCGGCGTGAGGGACCCGCTGGGGGCCACTGCAGTCCACCATGCAGCCCGGTCGGGCAAGCTCACCTGTCTGCGCTACCTGGTGGAGGATGCGGGGCTGCCTGGGAGCTCGCTGGCGAAGAACGGGGCGAGTCCTGCGCACGACGCGGCGGCCACCGGCAACCTGGCCTGCCTGCAGTGGCTGGTGACCCGTGGGGGCTGCAGGGCCTCGGTAAGGCTTCGAGTTTCACTTCTGTAGGTGCAAGAAGCTGACAAAAAACAGCATAACAGGTAGAGTGTTAATTATTATGCATACATTCATAATATTACCGATTTAATTACCACCATGTTTATTATTATTATTATTATTATTATTATTATTATTATTATTATTATTATTATACGCGACAGTAACCAGGAGAAGGGGAGATGAATGGCTGGATTATTGTTTTCTAAAAATACATAATAAAATTTGAATAATAAATACATGAATTTAATGCAGGAACAGATTACCTGATGTACATGAGTAGGCTAGTTATTCTTAGTAAGAATGCGCAGTTATTGTGGATCCACAAATTTTAAAGACAAATCTGTGAATGCTTAATATCACTGAAACAAGTTACTCCTACCATAAAAAGTATATATTTCAATTATTTATGTGATTTGTAAGTATAATGTATATAGGCCTATGTGGACGTCATAAATCCTATTTAATTTAGGCAGTGTAAATAAAATTATCTATACACTTTCTGATAAAGGATTTTTGCTTTGTAATTTAACATAACATTTTTGACTTTGTGTTTAATGTAACTCAATTAATAAATAAAACACTTCTATATTAGAAAAAACTCATACTTTATGAGAAGCTTTATTAATATTAACCAGCCTTCCAGGGTGGGGCCCAAAATGCCGGTGTGAACAATTTGCCACCAGGGTACCTGTGTACAAACAAGAACAACAACAAAAGTTTTTTACTTGGGGGGGGGAAATGATGGTATAGAGAATGAAATTAGGAAATAATTAACTATAAACCTTGTGTAACTTAAATTAGGCTGCTATAGAAATGACGAAAAGCAATCAACGGTGATATATTTTTGAATAAAAATCATGCTAAACTTCTTCATCCAGCACTACAAACAAATCACACCAGCAATATGACTACATCACATGTTTTCTTCTTAATTGGGATAATTAGTTAATGTCTGCAATCAGCAGCTTATCTGGGGAATTATTTTAAGACCAAATGAAAAAATATTTGTCAGACTGGTGATTATTTGCGATTATAGTATTACTTTATGAGTATTATCTTACGACTTGGTGTTTCCATATTTTAATGAAAAGAAATATGGAAAACATCTTGTGTTATCTACGTGAAACAGACCTGCTTGTCTGCTGAAGTTAAGGTAGCCGACTGCTCGTCGCGTTTTTGGCTCTGTGCGGACGCGGCGGGGCTGCGCAGTGCTGTGCTTACACGGGTTCGAGGGGCGCGGATGGCGCCGGTGCCCCCGCCGCGGCGCTTCAGCCTTTTAGCAGATTAACGGGCCGGTTGAGCAGAAAGCATGCTTCCGTGGTGCTTCGGCCAGGCTAACGCTAACCTGGGGGATTAAAGAGGAGCCCTATATTTAGCCTGGTGGGGGATTAGGATCAGCGAAGAGCACAGGAGCTTCGCTTCGCAGCTTGGGCGCTGTGTTTCACACCACGGTCCCGCTGGCAGCGCAGCTCGGTGAAAATGGGCAGCCGTTGTGACACCCGAGCCCCCTCTCCGAGTTATGCTGCCAGATCGTCGCCATAACAGGGGCAGAATGCAACCGACAGAACGTGACCGGTTCCAAAAACACGCCAGGAAATGTCACTTTGACAAAAGGGAGGTTATATCCATTGTGTCGGGAAGGTTTCGGCTTGTTGCCACAGCTTTCGTTTGGGGCTGGTACTGGCGTTTTTTTGTCATGTAATGACATTAAAACCAAATTTTCTAATTCAGGTTTACGGTTCAGTGGCACAGTCCGCCGTCCTCAGCTGTCCTTCACATTGTCAGAGATCATTTTCACCTTTTCTAAGATCATCCATTTTCTAAGACCTATCAGGAAAAGGAGAGGGGTTTGTGTGGAGTATAACTTAACTTCCTGCTTGGTTTAACTTGATTGACATGGATTCATGTTTGACCAGTTTATGAAGCTGGACACCAGGTTTATGATCCAGGTCCTCATGCTTTGGGTCTCATGCTCACGCCCATCTAGTCACGCGAATGGATCTGAGTAAAAGTGCAACCTGAGTATTTACTCACCTAGGCTCAGCTGCCATTCTTTTTAAACTCTGTGTCCAATAATTACTTCAGTCTTCCTCCAAGTCACACATCTGTTTTCTTTATGTAAACTTACACATTTCACATGATTCCAGTTCTGTCATGTCCCTCCCCAGTATGCGTTGCTTTCTGTAGTTCCTCTGTACCACTCTGTCTCCTGTCCCTGTCTCTCCGCCTTCGACGGGCAGGACAGGGACAGTTCTGGGGCTACAGTCCTGCATCTGGCATCGCGCTTCAGCCATCATGAGATCATCCAGTGGCTGCTGAGGGGGGGGAGGGCGGACCCCAAGGTGGCCACAGACACGGGGGCCCTGCCCGTCCACTACGCAGCTGCCAAGGGAGACCTGCCCTCGCTGCGGCTTCTGCTGGAACACAGCCCCAGGTAAATTTCTCAGCGTGCAGCATTTTGCACAGCACCAGCTAGATATACCAGAATATAGTGCTGCACACAGGTCCAGAGAGATCTCCCAGAATGCAACACTGCACACAGATCTAGGTAGGTCTCCCAGAATGCAATGCCACACACAGCCCCATGTATATCACCCAGAATGCAATGCTCACACAGGCCCAGGTAAGTATCATACAGTGCAATGCTGCATGACAGATGTCGTGTGTAAGAATGTAGTGGCTTTGAAACAAACATAAAATATAATATAAAATATAAATGTGACTCTTTCACCTGATAAACTCATAAGCTGGGGTTTCAGAAAATGAGTTCAACTGGGTACATAACACCGGGTGTTTAGTATGTGGTAAATGAATAGGTAACACTTCACATTAACTGCACCTTCATAATGCATTCATTAGGCATTCATAGAACGTCCACAAACATCATGTAAGTGTTCCTTATCATTCTAACATACCGCAACAACTTTAACATACGTTAATAACTTTTATATTAGTTTCAATTTTCATTTCTAACAAAATCTTTTGGAAACAAAGTCCCACCCTACACTGTGTAATCTTTGTAAGGCAGAAGAAGATTATATTTAACTCAGAAAATGTATTATAGCTTATAAAATTATTTGCAAAAGTTTTTTTACATAGCTATGCATATTGCCAGTTAGGTGTCACGCTCCATTTCCTGGAGTCACAGTAAAGGTCAGCTGATGTGAGCAGATGGTGTCATCTGGTGATTCACTCGAGAACATTGCTGTGAAATCACTGCCACGTGATGGATGCTCTCTGTCCTAATGAAACACTCCTGGACACATCGGAAACCCAGCAGACCTTTTGTGGCTCATGATTTATCTACTTTGGTGTGTAAATGTTAAGCAGTAAAACACAGAGAAAAACTCGAGTGTAATGCACCTCACCTTACAGTTTCAGGTGTTAAATAGTACTATGATTCTTGTTGATTTTGGCTGAATTATTTATTATGGTAAAAGAAACACTTTTCTAAAGGTTGGAAAAAGGCTGACATAGTAGTTGACATTTACTTTAAGGTCAGAGAGCATCATGAGAGTGACGTTGTTTATGTTAAATTGGTTGCATACACAGGTATATAACGCTGACTGACCCCCCCATGAACGAGCGGTTGTGTCGATCCTTGCCAGTCCGGGGGTATGGGGGGGGGGAGGGGTGGCGATGGAGAGGAGGAGCATGGTGGGAGGTGGGGTCACGCGCCACCTGATAGCGAAAGGCCATTCATTTCCTGCCATTGTTTGTGGCTGTTTCTATGGCAACGCACAATGGTTGACTGGCCATAAAGTAATGACTGAAAACAGATCCCATGGAACAAGGACACGGCGCTGGACGGTGTCAGCATTGTTCAGGTTAGATGCTGGGTCGGCGAAGATAATGGTGGAAGAGCCCAGGAGCAACAGCACTGAAATATATCTTTTGGGGGGGGGGGCGTGCTCCCGCCTCACTCCTGTCCAACTTCAGCGTTCAGTGTTACAGGAGGCTGAGAGACCACAGCCTGTTTTTCTTTGTTTTATTTCCCCCATCAGTGTCATGTTTCCTTCACTGCTCCTGTACACCTGTATACGCAGAGAAACACACGCGCAGTGCCAGTCAAATGTTTGGACACACAAAGCCACCTACAAGGGAGAGTGATAGTTAGCCACCTGACCTAGAGACAATGGAGATGCTTTGGGAAGAGTTAGTCTGGAGGATGAAGGGAAAGTGGCCAATGGGTGCTCAGCGTGTATGTGGGACCTCCTTCAGCATAGATGGAGAAGCATCCCAGGAGGCCACCCCATGAAAGAGGTGTAGAGNTAGATAGATAGATAGATAGATAATACTTTATTAATCAAAAAGGAATTATTGATCAAAAGGTGCAGCATTAAAGGAAATTTAGGCATCTTGATACACACAATAGCTCACATAATGACACACACAGTAATACAATAACACTCAGCATTGCCTTGGGGAGGGCTCGCTGTGCTTAGCGTAATGCCAGTCCAGTAGACAGATAAGCCTTTACTGACCAAAAATGCTAATGTGGCAAAGGGGATAAGAACTTACTAAGCGCTAATAAAAGCTGCCAGTGTTAGCTTAAGATGCTCAGAAACAAGGAGACATGTTACACAACCAGCTTGCTGTCCTAAAAGGTCCCCAGGGCTTAATCACTACCTGGGGCAGAGTAATACTAGGCATCCATAGCTGGGAACACTGGGAGTGTCCACCAGCAGCAGGCACCTGATGTGCTTCTAAATTCTTCTTTCACTGGTCTGCGCCATCCCACAGTGATAATACCCCTAACTACACCTCAGCTTTCTGGAACCTTCCGGTCCTCACAGGACTGTTTTCAGGTGACCCTGAACTGGCTCAGGGGCTTTTAAAGTACTTACTGGCATGATATGTAACGGCATGGCTGCACCCAGCCACACATGTGCCTCTTCCTCAGACAGCCTCTACTTCGATCGGAGTAGAAGTTTCCGGATTGCTTGAAGCTGGACTCTGCCGTTCAGGCTTCTGGGGCCTGTCCTGTGTTGGTCTCTTAACCTCTTTTTTTTATCAACATTCCTCCACTCTGACCCACTTTGCTTATGTTGCCCTGGAGCTAAACCTTTTGATTTAACGTTTTAATTATTTAAACCGGAAAGGCCATTGAGATCTTAATCAGCCTTTGTTCAACAAGTGCTCGCTCTGGCCGCCATGCTAAATGAGTCAATGATTAGGAAATTTAAAGGCCATTAATAACTCTGTATTTCTCATGCAAACAATTGATAAAGAAACACTCCAAAAGAGCAGAAATAGAAGGTGGACACCTGTAGATGTGTGTGTATGTGTGTTTGTGTTCTGTGTAATTGCATTTTCAAGATGTTTGGGAGAAATCCAGGAGTCTGTAGGTACTACAGACGTGAAAGCAGAGCCTGTTGTGTCTTGGCTCCTGTTCACACAAGCGTGTGTGTGTGTGTGTGTTTGTGGTGTGTGTGTGGGTGTGTGTGGGGCCTCAGGTATGCGGACTTATGCAGAGCCCTCAGAATAATACCTGTGTTACCTGTGTTACCTGTGTTATGCACAGCAGTTGACCCGTGTAGTACAGTATATGTTGGTGTGAGCAGGTGTGTGTGTGTGTTTGTGGTGTGTGTGTGTTTGTGGTGTTTGTGTGTGTGTGTGTGTGTGTGTGTGTTTTGTATCCTACTCGCCTTGTTCAGCTCTTTTCCGTTACACTCATAAATGATTAAGGCATCCTGTTGATGGAAACCCGGCTCGTGAATTTTTAACTCCTGCTTGTTTTTTGTGTGATCGCCCCCCCCCTCCCTCTGTCAGGACAAAAGATGTACTCATCCCTCATTCTTACATAAAAGTCCTCCCTGAAATGAACACATACAGGCATATATGGGAAGAAGCTTCCTGACTGATCATGGGCATCTGACACAAGAATGGAGACTGATTATCGCGTTTGTGGTAGACGGGATTAAGGAGGGGGTGGGTCTGCCCCCTGACTCTCTGCTGTAAAGGTGGGAGGGGGATCCAGGGCAGCGTGTCGTGAAATCTGCTCAGGTTATTGAAGAACAGCTTTATAACAAGCTTTACACACCTAATGGCAGTGAGAAATGCTTAGGAAGCCTCTTAGAATAGTGAAGTTTCCAGAGCAATTTTCTGAAACAGATCCTTTTATTTGAGAGTTACCCCTTTGACAGCATCGTGACTCATATCTGACTGGTTTATATAAACAGCTTAGATCGTCGGCTATTTTAAGTACTTCAAAAATGCAGCTATTTTCTTAGTATATATTTAAACACATAGTAAATGTAAAGAATGGCATCAAATTGCAAATTATGTGTTTGGCAATATACATGTTTCAACCTTAATTTGTCATACGTTTTGCGTGTTTGTGAGAGAATTTTGTGGAATGGAACTTATGAATGAAACATGGAGAAACAAAAAATAATACCTGTTTTTGTTTTTTTTTTGTTTTGTTTTTGTTTTTGTGATTCCTCAGCGTGGTCAACGCCCAGACAAAGAATGGGGCCACACCCCTCTACCTGGCCTGCCAGGAAGGTCACCTTGAGGTCGTACAGTACCTCGTCAAGGACTGTGGGGCAGAGCCACGGATCAGGTCCCACGATGGCATGTCACCCCTCCACGCGGCAGCCCAGATGGGCCACATCACCGTCATCGTCTGGCTGGTATGTAGGCCAGGAGGGGGGAGGTGTGTCAATGTATGTGACACAAAGCATGTTGGTATGAATTCCAGAAAGGTCCACATCTTGTATCTGAGCATTTCACTTAACCTGAAATGCTTCATGAAATGTGGCTATACACGCATGCACACACACACACACACACACACACGCGCACACACACACACACACACACACATTTGTATCCATATCTTTGTGGGAACCATCCTTCAATTCTATGGGAAAAACCTTAATTCCAACATGACGAGCTTAACCCCCACCCAGCCCTAACCGTAGCCATAAGTAACCAAACAAAATACGAGAATTTTTTGATTGCATTCACAGATCTTTTTGGGGACCAGAAATAACAGATTTTTATCACATTTTGGGGTCCCCTCAATTTAATATAAACATAATCCACACATACACACACACACACACACATGCGTGCCGCATTCTATTAATATATATATAAAAAAACTAATATATAAAGTTACATATAATTCTAAATGAGTCACTTTGGCTAAATGCAACACACCTCTAAGTTAATGATGCGAGGAGTAGATGGATACTGGGTTAGTGTGTCCCAGTTATCCGCCAGTCCTCCCAGTACACTGTCCAGGGCAGTCCTGCCCCAGCGAACGCGACATTACACCTTCCTCCTCGGACACAGGTGAGCTTCACGCCGACCAGCCTGTCGGAGCGCGACAACGACGGCGCCACGCCGATGCACTTTGCGGCCAGCCGCGGCCACGCCAAGGTGCTCAGCTGGCTGCTTCTGCACGGCGGCGAGATCGTCAGCGACGGCTGGGGCGGGACCCCACTGCACGACGCGGCGGAGAACGGCGAGCTGGAGGTGGGCTCTGCGAGCCTCGAACCCTCTCCTCCTTGGGACTCCCCCAATGGGCATCCCTGGAAATGATTTATTAATTTGAATTATATTTAATTGCTTAATTATTATGTCTAATCTAAAACTAATTCTGAGGCCTTAGTGTTAAAATGTCCGTTATAGATTTCGGAGGTAGAGGTCTGAGTAGCTGATGACGCGATTAATCTAAATTAACCTTATTGCTGTGAAATATAATCCTCTTTTTAAACTTCATAAATGACTGAATAAATGGAATGAATATTTATTCTTCAGAAAACAGACTGATTCCCATATTTCACATTTCCTCATCTTTTCACCATTACAGAGATTCCTCTACTTTCATGAATTATGTTTAACACAATCGTGTTCTTAACTATATGTCAGTTAATTTAAGTCATGTGATAATTAGCAGCAAGCCACAGTTTCCATGCTCAGAACCACGGCCTACTCAGACCACTTTGGATTTTAACTGTGCAGAAAGTATATTAATACTCACTTAATATTTTCTTCTTACAACAAGGTGGTGAAATCCAGGTAAATAGACCTCTAGCTACCCGCTGAAAAACCATGCAGCTTTTTCAAGGATGGCCTTCAGTTCTGCTTTATCTGTCGCTGCTAGTGCTGTCAGATTCTGGTGGTGAACGGAGTGCATCTGGGAACGCGGGACCGCGACGGCTTCTCAGCGGCGGACCTGGCCGAGTACAACGGGCACAGTGAGTGCGCCAGATACCTGCGCACTGTGGAGAACATGGTAAGGGAGGTTACTGCGTCCACTGCTGCCGCTGTCTGCCCCCCTGCTGCCGCTGTCTGCCCCCCTGCTGCCGCTGTCTGCCCCCCTGCTGCCTCTCCCTGTCTGCCCTCTTTTCCTGGTCTTTGCCTGAGTCAGTGTGCTACAGCTCCACAGTTCAGCAGAATCAGGGCCATGGTGTTTGGGCTGCTTGTGTAATGCTCTACCCAGCTTTGTGCTGATTCTGTAGTTAAATGCATTTGATGTGGCCATACTCAACTATACTTTATATCAGTACTATGATGATACTTAGCTGTACTTTGTGGTTGTCTGCTAGTAACACAGAAGAATACTTTTTGGTTGCACTGTAATACTAAGCAATGGTTTGTAGTTGGACAGTGATAATACTTATCATATTATGTGGTTGTGTAGTAATAATACTCAGAAATATGTTGTGGATATATTATGGTGATAGTAAGCACTACTTTGTGGTTTTAGTAGGGTGGTGCTCAGTTGTTCTTTGTGTTTGATTATAGTAACCCTTGGAAATACTTGGCAGTTTTACTGTGTAATACTCAACAGTACTTTGTGGTTCTACAGTTGTAATACTCAGCACTATATTTTTGGTTGTAATATAGTAATACCAAGAAATACTTTGTGGATGTACTGTGGTGATAGTAAGAAGTAATGTGTGGTTGTATTGCGGTCATGCTAGGGTGATTCTCTGCTGTTGTGGTTGGCATTTTGAAGTCAGGCCTTTTGGAGACTTTATGAATCATTTTCAAAGAATACTCAGTAGAGCAACCGTGCATTCAGAGTAAATGGAAATGGCATTCACAGTGTATTGATGAAGGCTGCTTAGATTTAATTAGATTAATTGGACTTTGAGGGGTAAATTGTGTCATGAAGAGAGAACTTGAAGAGACACCTAGTGGATGCCGGAAGATTATGGCTACACTTTTTTTTTTTTACTTCTTTGCTGAAACCCAGCCTTTACATAGAAAAGTGTAGTTTTGATTAGGAACAATTCATTTACAACCTGTACAGTTGGCATGAGGATGCTGGTCTCCATCAGATAGATCTGGGGTAAATGGCTGTACTTTGTTCAGCACTGAAAACTGGCCCCTCCAAATAAGTCACCTGTGTGTTTGTTTTGCTTTGCACTGAGCTGTTATTCAAAACTTTCACTCATTTATGCACCCAAGTCATTTTCCTATAAATATTTAATGTTAAACACATTGTTTAAAGGTACCCCAGTAGGGATCTCCTGGGATTTAAAGCAGCCTTAAGCTTTTAAGTGATGGGATCCATAACCCACTGAAATTAAAGAAAATATTTTCTTGTGCTAAATGTGAGCTGTTAAGTGCTACATGCCAATTGCTATCTAATCAACACGATGGATTTTTATGATTGTACTATTTAAACATGTCCTTAGCTTTAAAGACTTGCCTTTGTAATCCTTAGCTGTAGCTGAGTGGAAGATCCTCCAAAATGACATCCTAAACTTGACTGAACCTCTAAAATACGTCCATTCCTCCCCCACCCCCCATCTCCAGCCGAAGGGCAGCCAGGCCGGTAAAGGGAGCTCAGGCTAACCATCCAGATGGAATTGAGTTTCTAAAGAGCAGCAGTGATCTGGGGGGGGTGGCTCTACCCTGATCATGGTATGGAAGTGGGCTCTCAGGATTGTGCTTTGGAGAGTCGCCACCTCGAACCCGAGCCCAGCCGATTCTGAGAGGGGGAGATGTGTACAGTATCTTGCATGGTACTGTGCTGAATGATATGTGATATAATAACATACTACATGTAACATACTACATGTAAACGCAGATTTATGTATTATTTGTGACGGCAGCAGGCAGAAGGAAGGTCCTGGATGAGTGGGTGTCTGCTCCTGGTTGACTCAGGTGACGCCTGAATTAGACATTAAGTGGTAGAAGCCTCTTCACTAAGAATCATATTAGAATCAGAAAGTCTCTATAAAGTGCCACCCTACTCCTGATCAGCATTGCTGTCCTGTGGGGGGGGTTGTGAGACCCCATTGGTGTTTCTGAGTCAGATCTTTGGTAAAAGATTCAGTCATAGCCGTGAACTGCAGAAAATCCAAATATTAACTTTTAAAAGCATTTTCTTATGTAAATATCTTTGATATGAATTGAGGGCTAGGGGCTGGGGCCCCATCAGCTGGATGCCTGGGCTAACTTTGTTGGAAATTGTGAACCCACTATCAGAACGGAAATGATTCGTATCACGGGGTCTTTCTGTATTACAGTGTTATGAGCCTCAATCCCACAATGCAATGTGATTAGGTGTTAGGAAAAGTCAGGAAATGCCGGGTGTTCCCCCGATTTGGGGCCCCTGGCTGAGGCTGTGTGCGCGCCCGTGTGTCCACACAGAGCGTGGAGCACCGCGTGCTCTCCAGGGACCCGTCCGCTGACCTGGAGAGCAAGCAGTCGGACTCGGGCCTGTCCTCCCCCATGGCCCCGTCCTCCTCCGCCCAGCCTGCTGGCTTTGAGGTGGGCTCACCCTCCAGCACTCTGTCCAACTACGACTCCTGCGCTTCCAGCCAATCCAGCAATGGCGAGAAGAGGAGCGGGGGGCAGCCGACGAGTGGCCCCAATGGTCAGTGACACGCACACGCGCAGCTCATATATGCCTTTCATTGTAGGGACCCTTCATTACATTCTATGGGCTTGAGCCTAATCCTAACAATGACAACCTTACCCCCTACCCAGCCCTAATCATAACCATAAGTAACCAAACAAAATACAAGACTTTTGTCTATTTTAGTTTTTTAATTGCATTCACAGGATTTTATCAAATTTGAGCTTTATATTGTGGGGATCTGAAAAATGTGCCCACAAGCTAAAAAGTAACAGGCTTAGGTCCCCATGATGTGGTAAAACTGATTCTGATTCTGAAAACAAACTCGCACTCATTCTCACACATGCGTGATCAGGGATCTGCCGAGGTCCTGCCTTTAGTACGGCAAACTCATCCCAGCCACATTTGAACTAAACCAGACATTTTTGGATGGTTTTCAGTTTTAAGCTTATTATGAAGTAGGGGGTTGCACGACTTAAGATTTTTTAAAGTGGACAGCTATTTCATGAAAGTCGAGGCGACGTCAATTAGTCAATGCTGATGTCTTTAATAGAACCACAGGAAGAGTGAATTCTTTGCGACAAGCGACAATCTGTATTCGCGAAACCTAAAGCATATGCTCACAACAGACGTACAGATATCTTTGTCACGGAAAAGAAACAAGTAGAAACAGCAATAGGTTGCAACTCAGCAGCAACACTTTGTGTAACAATAACACTTATTGGCCGCAATTTCCATTTAGGTGCGAAAGATTGAAATGAGTAAGACTGATACATCAGCATAACGCTTGGGGAGGAAAACAAAACTCACGCCAGATCCAGCCTGCAAGCCTGGTCCTTGCTGTCGTAAGGCGCTTTCCCACCAATGTTCAGGAACCAGGTTCCTGGTTCCGAGTTCCTGGGCTGTCTTGACCTGTAGTTTTGTGTGTCGCATTCCGACCGCACAACAGGAGCTTTGTGCAGGTAATTTCATATGAAACTATGCCGTCACCCCAAAACAGTGTAGGATAACCATGTGGTTGTGCTAATGATTTATTAGTTATTGGGGGATCGGTTGCGATCAAAACGGGACACAGCGTTTTATTTATACGACCTGTAACATGTTTATAATTTATGTTAGAGTGGCCAGCAAATTGATTGTTCATTTTCCATGGAATAAAACATTAAGTTACGTTATTCCAGCACCGAAGATTTAAGACAAAAGTATAACAGTTATTGTTGAATTTTTCGAGGCTGAAATATGGAAACACAAGTAAGAAGGTATTCATTAATGCACTGAATGTAACTGAGGTACAAACATAATTCCACCTGCTTAATCTTTGCCCCACTAGTTCAATCTGTTTTCCCCAAACATCAGTGTAATTAGTATTTTTTGAGGCGTCCATGTTGTTAGTGTCATAATCACGTGATCAGCAACTAGTAAATGTCAAGCTTTAAGTGTCATCGCAGAGCAGTAAAGTTGACTTGATGAGTAGTGAATTAGTAGGTGCAACCACTATTAAGATGCAGAATTTACTGGTTGTGGGGGGTCCCCATGCGGGAGCACAGAGGACACGTTGCAAGTTAATTTTGGGGTGTCCATAAAAAATGCCAGTTTAACGTTCTGGCTGCCGTGTGACAATCAGGCCACTGCATAATTAGAGCAGACTTCATGTGGACAGATTGACAGTCTGGGTCGTACAGGGTCAGAACTCCATTAGACTGGAACTAAGCTGGGCTCTGCCACCCCCCCCCCCCATCTGATCCAAAGTGGGTCAGATTCGGAAGGAATAAAGCAAAGACTGTCTGCATAAGGAGGCTGTATCTATCCTAAGCTCAATTACTCTTTGTTACTGCATTGTTGCAGCGAGAAGTAGCCACAGGAAACAAAATATTAGCATTGTTGGGTAGTTAATGTACCATGTGCCTGCATTTGAGGGCAGAATAATGGGGACTGTTCAGACTGAGTCTTGGGATGAATTTCAGCTTATTTTTCCCTAGAATAGTGAACAGCTCAAGGCCAGGTTTGCTGTAAGCACTAGTGCTGCCATCTACTGGTGACTTGTTAAATGACACAGAGCATCTATGTAATTCTGCAAGATGTTTGACCTTTGACATTTAATTTGGGTAGTGTATATATTTAATTCCTGAATTATTTGTATCCAATGATCGGGAAAGTCACTGAGTTAAAGGAAAGTCTTCTTCATGTCACTGTGAGGAACGGGAGACCCATTCGTGAACTGACCCCTTCATCTGCTGGAAAAAGGTTTCTCAGATTCAGCTGTCACAGACACGCAGACCTGCATGGATGTGTCGAATTCGGACGCAGGGGCGCAGAAGAGCGGGGCCTATGGGCACATGCCCGATCCAGTCCCGCCCCCGCCGCCAGCATACCCTCCCCCCCCACCCCCAGGTCCCTTTAGTCCCGCCCCCGAAGCCACCGGCGATCAGCCCCCTGCTGAAATCTACGTAAAGGTGAAGAAAAATCTACGTCATGTGGAGAGTGAAACTGTTGTGAGAGAGGTGAGTTTTCACTGTCAGAAATGTTTCGTTACTCTAAGAAATGTATAATTTGTAGGGTTGTATACAGTAGTTATATATTTGACCAGGATCTGTCTCTGCTGTCTGTAAGCTTACAGATGTATGTCTAGACCTCTTTAAAGCTCCCGTCCCAGAGAGTGTTCCAGAACAGGCAAAGATATTTGTTTGTTTTAACTGGTGTTTATCTGCAGAGTTTTATGGTTAATTAAACCTTTAATAAATAGCCAGAAGGACATTTAGTCCTAAGATAAGGTGACAGCAGCTGTGAAATCATGCACGATTCTCCAGGGAGAGCTGAATGCTTGTTTTTATTAGGGAGGCACTGAGGACAGTGCGAGGTGGATTCTGTATGAGCTGCTCTCACAGTGCAGCCAGGCTTTCAGTGGCGTGGAAACTTACAAAGCAGCCGTCTCGCCTACCCCGAGACAGTGTTATGGAAAAAAAACACAATGTTTCTTGTCAGGGGCGTAGTTAGAGATGAATGGATAGAGGGGTTGAGTCTTTACTGGGGGGGGCATGGCAAACATACATAATATAAAAAGCTATTCATAATTTTAGCCAATAAATACACATTTATTTGAGCGGGCGAGAAACACTTAGTGCCCATCTCAGCAATTCAGCGGGCAAAATGTCCTGTGTTCTCCGGCAATGTGTGAGATTTTCTTATAGCCCATGATACTGTGTCTGGGTGCCAGACCAGCCTCCATCATGCTGTAAAATGAAAGACGAGTGACCACTTAAGAGGCCCTAAGGGATTGGACCTCAGTACACATTAGCTTATGTGGAAGAATTGATTTCACCTGGCAGCGAACATAAACGGCTGAATGCCCATTAATGTTTGAGTGTTGTTGCTCACCACCCTATCTGACGGCGCTGTCAGCCGTCCTGTTTGCCTGCTGTGAGGGGTGATGTACAGCATACAGTAAGAACCATTTCCTCACGCGCACAGATCACGTCTCCCGTTTGGTGGGCGACGATGTAACAAATCCTGTGCGAGGAGCTGGCTGGGCTGCCATGGAGACGGTGAGGTCAGCTTAGTGTGATGTGACAGGTGTAGTTTATTGATGAAGCGTCCGGGTAAAACGAGAGGCCGGGTAGTTTGAGGCAGGTGTTGGGGGATGCGAGCAGTCAGGCATTGAACTTTTGCACGAGCTCTGGGCGTCAAAACTACAGACTGAAGACTTTTAACTCCAACTTCATTGTATCATTGAGTCTTCTGATGTATTGGGGATACACAGGAAGGAGGATGTAGAGTGTCAGAGTCAGTAAAGGAACCAGGAGGGAGTGTTCAGAGGTGAGCTGATATGCTTGTGTTGGATGTGTTTTATTTTGATTTTTTTTTTTCTCAAATGACTTACAAGCTCTTGACTGACAAACCGCGTTCCAGAGTAAGTACAGCCAGGGCTATGGTTTGAGGGATCTCTCCGACATCGCTGGCTCTTCTGAGCCGTGTCACTTGGGTGGGATATAATGTGTTAACGTGGATGTATTTGCCAATGATACTTTTGGATTGTTCTGGATGAGCACTCAACCATATCCAACAGCAGGGCTTTATTGTCATGACACATCGATTGACATTCAGACATGTGAAGCTGTGTGTGAAATTGTCTGTGAAGGATGGTCTTGAGTGTTATATAAATAATGATGAATATGAATCATACTGGAGTATGACAGCTTGGAATTTGTGGTCCTGGATGATTGTCTTCAACTGTTCTGCAGAGTTCTAGAACATTCTGCAGTGTTGGAATCTGTGGTGGTGCTGTTTGGGAGCTAAATACTGCTGTGTCTGGAAGCTGGCCCAAGATCGACTTCATCTCGCTGTCAGATCTATCTCTTCCCCTCCCTGTTTACGCTGCTCCTCCTGCATGATCTCTTGGATTCCGCTCGGAATTCTTCGCTTGGATTCTGCTGTCACGCTGTGGCCGCCACTAAGGGTTCTCCATGTTCCTGCTCAGCCTCTGTCCCATGCTATCATGCATTTCAGCCATTTCAGGAACCTGTGAAATTTGACGCTGCTAGACAACATTTTACAACATTTTAATTGTTGACACTATATTGGAATTTGTGTTCCTGGATGATTGTCTTCAACTGTTCTGCAGAGTTCTAGAACAGAGTTCTGTTAGGTTGACCATGCAATTCCTATGGAAATTTATGGCTCGTTTAATCATGAGGATTTTGATAAGTGATCGAGGCAGTCCTCCCTCAGGGTTGCTTTCACTCCCCATCTTGGGGTCGCTTACACACCAATTTTTCTTATTAACCCTTTGTTCACTAAAATCCTGCAACTCAAAAATTTGTTTTGGTTACTCGATTTGTGGCTATAGGTTGGCCTAACCTCTGTGCTACAGCATGTTGAAAATCACGGCACACATCACTAATTGAATGTTCACAATCATAGCATGCACCACTAATTGAATGTTCACAATCACAGCACGCATCACAAACTCCTCAGCCAATCAGTCCTCTAATTAGTAATTTAATTAGGGAGTTGCAGCAAAAACACACAACGGCCCTTTCAGTGTAAGACTGCCCACCCCTGGTGTAATGCATTTTTCTCAGGTTTGAACAGCTGACCTAAAGGTTACACCAAAAACCTGCAAACACATTGGGCCTTTACCATTAAAACTGTACATTTTTAACAGGTTAGTTACATCAATAAAATATCATTACTGCGCAGTAAAGGTCTTTTGAATCTGCAATCAGTGTGTTAATAACCTCTTAATAGTTGGATTTAATCTAAATGAAACAAAAGAGCAGATCTGTGTAATCATATGAATTGCATATCAATGTGTATCCATAGCACATAGGCTTTGGAACAATCGTGCATCGTTCATAAGCACATTGGTCGTAGAGAAATGTTATAATGCTGGCTGTAATCATTTAGCCAGAGTCATTCTATAAATCAGAATACAGAAAAAAAGGAAGCAACATCGGTGACCCCAATGGATCTATGTCACATCGGATGCCAGGCTGTCCGTCATCATGGTAACAAGGACCCGCTGTGCCTGTTTCTGGTTTTCTTGAAGCAGCTGACTGCAGCGGAGTCCCCAGGCAGCTTCCGAAGGACAGACTCAACCCGAAGGTCACGCAGCTTCAGCAAGCAGCCCAGCACTGCCGACTACTACAAGGCCCTGGGAGCCGAGGGCACGGGGGGGCGACCCGAGAGAGCTATGCTGCCCGGCCAGGAGGTAACAGCCAGTGTCTGGCACCAACCACTTTGTATTCAAATCCAGTATTTATGGTGTGTTTCAGTGCAGACTTTGGAAGGTGAAATCTCAGTTCCCAGCCTTCCTTCATGACATCTGGAACCTATGTCTGGCCGTTTCCTCCCAGGATTCCCTGCTGCCGGGGGAACCGGCTGACGGACTGAAAAATGGAGCCGTGGAGGGACAGGCGCCCCCACCACCGGCTCCACCCCCACCACCCCTCCCTCAGGCCCATACCCAGCCCGCTCCCACACCCCCACCTCCTCCTCCGTTGCCCTCAGAAGCTCCACCCCACAAGTACAGCTCCAGCCAACGGCGGCCATCATCCTCCTCTGGAAGTGAGTGCACGGTCTCTGTCTCGCTGCAGACGTGGCCTGGCTGCCGGTTCTGGTGACCAGCTGGGCATATTTACCGGAAGACGGTGTATCTGTAGTATAGCTCAGGGACCGTTCCGGTCGGCTGGGAATGCAACGGATCATGGCTGAGGAATCACCGGAGTGTAGCCAGACCCCATATCGCAGCACTGCCCCCCATCAAAGACCCATGCAGACTCACAGAGTAAAGGTCTGCTGTTTCTCAGCAGTGTCCTGCACACGCAGGGAAAATGTCACAGAGAGCTATCTTGGTATCAGAGGAGTGAGGTCAGCTTGGAGCCATTGAATCCCCCCCCCCCCACTCTAAAGCTGATTACAAATTAATACCAGGACTTTGGTTACCTTGTGAACCTCTGTGGTCCTTCCCTTGGCTGTTGTCTTCACGACACTTCTCTATACTCTAGCTGTGTAGATCACATTGCCCCTGTACGCATACCTTATCCAGAATCACACTCAGGGATCTTGCATTTCATTACCTAATGAGGATCTTCTTTACCTTTGGGCCCTACCTTCACCTGTTCATTAGCCCATGATACTGTCCAGAATTTTCTCATTCCTTTTCCACTTTCTGCTGGATCTGTACCATGCCGCAGTAATCAGCTATTTGAGGCAGGATGAGATTGTTGGTGTTCCTGACTTAATCTTCGTCTGATTTAAGCTGAAGTGGTGGCGTCCGAAACCGCAAATCATAACATTAAAGTGTTTATTGGATGATATGATTTAACTGCCCAGTGAAAATTTGAGTGAAGTGTGAAATAAAACAGAGCAGTTTGCAAGAGGAGCAGAGCAGAAATGTAGGAGATTACCCATGAAAATCTTTAAATGTCTGAAGTCGTCTTCTTATCTCATCTCTTGGTACTTAATGGTAAGTTAGACGTTCTGTGACATCGTTGCTTTGGCCTTATCGTTTCCGCGTCTTGTCCACAGGCACAAAGTCTTTTAACATGATGTCCCCCAATGGAGACAACTCGGAGCTGCTGGCAGAGATCAAGGCTGGCAAGAGCCTGAAGCCAACACCTCAGAGTAAAGGATACTCCACCGTTTATACCAACAGGCCCGATGAGAGCAGTGTAAGCCATTGGCTGAGTATTCCTAAGTATACTCCTGCTGCCCATATCAGATGGTATAATCACATGGTCTGTCATAGCCAGTGATGTGTGCTAAATGCTGCTGGTTGTCTACCAGACTTATAGGCCTCAGCAGTCTATCCACCCACTGCTTTAGGACATTTAAATGTGAAATCTGCATTGCAGGGTGGGGCTCCTGCTTCTCAGCCTCCAGCCTCACTTGCTGCATCATCCCAGCTTCCCTCCCCAGCTGATGCGTCGTCCCTGGCTCCCACCATCCCAACCCCAGGCAGTCCACCGTCCTCCAACCCCCCGGTGAACGCCGTCAGCTATGAGCAGGTGCCTCCCTTAGTGAATGGCCACGCAAGGCCCACCCCCGTGCAGAAAGCTCCACTGGTGGATGTGGAGACCCTGGTGCCCACCCATGATGAGCAAGGCAGGGCCATCCCAGAGTGGAAGAGGCAGGTGATGGTACGCAAGCTCCAGGTCAAGATACAAGAGGAAGAGGAGCTAAGGCACAAGGTAGGTTTGGGTAGATGAGACATAAAGGTTACGTGGGATGTGAGGTTCGCAGGGAAGCATAGCTACCTGGGATGTGAAATGAGCTGGGATGTGAGATGAACAGAAAAGCAAGCTTACTTGGGATGTGACGTGAGCTGGGATGTGAGATTAGTTGAAATGCCAGGTTAGCTGGGAGTGGTTAACCAACATGAAGGGGACTTTGTGGACACAGCATGGTTTTGCATGCATGTTGACATTGGCGTGCTGTGTACTGCATGACCTGTGTGAGTTTTAACCTGGCTTTTGCATCACAACCTGCTGTGCTGGGCAGCAGGACCAGAATCTGTTATTCTGTAGTCCTGATGGTCCAGTTGCCTCCCACAAGGGTTATAGCAGTTCTCCTGTAGCTCTATAAGAAGACCCACTCACTGTATGGGATTCAGGTATATTGCAGAGCACTCTGTAGCTAAACACAACCGAATGGAGACCAGTCCTTTTCCATAATTATTGCAAATCTAAAAGCACTGTGTTATGCACAGGATAAAGAGCTGTAGCACTGGCATATGGAGACTTTGGTGGCCCGAAACTGAATGGGATGGCAATAGCTTTGTTGCTGTAGCTAAAGTAACTTGAAGTTAAAATTAGCCGTGGTTCCTTTGCTAGAAAGGTAATGTTACCAAAGGCAAGTGAGCTCTCTGGTTTTGATGACATTTGACTGAAATGGAACATTAAAGTGTACACATTAATTTTGTAAACAAAAGGCATAGGATCAGAGAGCTGGTTAAGGTCACTTTGCGGCTGGTGAACTGCTCAGCCAGACACAGAAGGTGCTTATAGGTAGAAGACCTTCAGATATTTTGTGTTCCTTACTTTATGTTTTGAGATGCGCTTGATGCATGTTTTGTGATGAGGTGAAGGTCGTGCTGTGGTGCTATGGATGCTGAACACAGCTGTGCATGTCCCAGGCGAGCTGCACAGCACGGCCACATCTTAAACCCAGGGACGCCGTGGGGAGCCCTGAGTTTTAGGGTGGAGTGTTGGAGCTCCAAGCTCCTGCATGCTGATTCAGTGGTGTAATGCAAACACGGCCAAGCCATAAACCTATTACGTTACTTGTGACTCAGTGGTGGACCCGTGAAGGGATGAATCTCAGAACTCCTTCTTCTCCTTTGCTGCAAGCTATCCTTCCATCTTTCCACCATCTTTGAAGGCCATGGCATTACACTACTAACATCATGTAAATTGGGGTGTTTGCTGTGAATGGACAGTGCCCAAGGACTGGAAAGAACCCTGCCCCCTATTTGATTTCCAATCTAGTTTGCCTCCAGAGGGTACTACGAGCCCCAGGACTGGCACTACTCCCACGCCCACAACGCCATCCTTGGCCCATTCGGGGAGCTCATGACTGAGGACGACCTCATCCGTATTGAGCGGCAGATCGAGAACCTGCAGGTCATGCACAAGGTGCAAGAGGTGGAGACGGAGCTGGAGCAGCTGGAGCAAGAGCTGCAGCAGCTGCTACCAGTATCTGCGGCACTGAACCACGAGCACTTCTCCGTCAACCCTAAGCAGGTCCATGGGCAGGCGGAGGACCTACCAGCATGGTGCAGCAAGATCTCCACCTTGCTGAAGAGTATGGCCATCCTCCTTGCCACTCTTGGGGGCAAGGAGATAGACATCCTGGATTTAGTCTCTCCGTTATACGCTCAAGTGGAGAACAAGACTGTAACAAGCAGCTCAGCTGATCCCACACAGCCTTCTGCTTCCGTAAACATTGGAAGGTCACAGTCGTTTTCCACCCGGGAAGAGGTTGAGAAGGAGATAAAACAGTGTGGTGTGTCAGTGAAGAACCTGAAGGCCAACTATGAGGTTCATAGCCGGCCTGAGTCCACAGAGAGCATGGGCAGGGTGTACAAGCGTAAACGGTCTCTGCCTGTGGGGAGTGAGTCCATGAGCTACAGGTCAGAGCCCATTTTAGAGGAGGACTATGTCTGCCCAACAGAGGACATACAGTGGCACTCTGAGAACCAGGCTCCACCACTTGACGTGACTGAACTGGTGGATGAACCCATCATAACGGCATCCTGTGCTTCTCTGACCTACGCTCCTGAGAACCTCTCCCAGCCTGACCTAAATCAGTACCCTTCACCCATGTCCCCAGACCTGTTGCTGGGCCATGACCAACAGACCCGCAGCCTAGAGGTACAAACAGACTTGAGCTACGTGCAAGAGTACATAGACATGAGGAAGGAGAGAATAGTGTTTTTGTTTCTGGAGCACTGGCGGAAGTACACCTTTACTGATTCTGTCAGGCCCAAATACACCAGGAGACGAGGAAGCAGTCACCAGCATTCCTCGTACTGCCTTAGCGATGCAGAGGTGGATAGCAGCGAGCAGAATGAAGATGACCGACTTATCTACCTCATGAAACAGAGGCAGGTGGTGGGCAATCTGATCGACCACTGGAGGACCATCATCAGTCAGGTTCCTACTAGGCAACTACGACGGCTCAGCCGAGCCCAGATGATCTATTGGCCAGAACACTTCCTCCCGCACATCAATGGGGCTCCGGTCTCTTATGACAGCCTGACTCTCGACCTCTTCATGCTTGGGTATTTCCAGCTGCTTGAGATGAGCATGTCTCGCTCAGAGCGCAAGTTCCGTCACCTACTCTGCTTCGAAATGTTCGACCACCTGGGCAGTCACAGCTGGGAGCTGATCCGAAGGTTCCACCATGAGGTCATGGAGGAGATAGAGTCTGGTAAAAGGAAGTGGTCTGATGGCTTTGAGGACATAAAGCAGAAGTACTTTGGGGATACTGTGGAGGTGGTGGAAGCGGTCAGTCCATCTCATGTCGAGAAACCTGACCCGCAATTTTCTGAGGTCCCACCTGAGCCAAAGTTTGACCCAGGTCCACCTGTGATGCATGAGAAGGCAGCACCTCTATCTGGAATCCATGAGGATTCTCTTCAGGTGATCTCTGAGCTAGGGGAGTTCAGCAATGAGGAGATTTGCAGATACATAGACCGCAGCTTCTCCTTCTGGAAGGAGAAGGAGGCAGAACTATTTGACATCTGACCCTTGCCATGTAGCGAGTGACCTAAGATTACAAGCTCAGGCAAAGACAAGGAAAGATGGAACTCCAGTGAGCTGAGAGATGTCTCTTATGGGCTCTTGCTCAGCAACAAATAGAAAGATAACATGAACAAACTTCTTTAGTTGAGTTATTTTGCGAAGCACAGCCCTTGTTGACCTTTGTGGGGCCTTAGGGCACTGTGTGTGTAATCACATTGTAATTCCAGAAGAATACGAGCAGCAACAACTCAGCTGAGGAATACGGATGTGTAACACTGAGGATCTCAACTGGCATTACTGTCAAGAGTTTGTTTTCTGCATAGCTATGAAACATTTTTGTAGTTTATTGACTAAAAGTGGTTAAAACTAAGGAATCTATCTCAGTCAGTTTATAGGTTGCTGAAATGTTTGAAGTATGTCAGGAATTATAGTGAAATAATTTGTTTTTGTTAATTCCAGATATGTTTGGTACAAACTATGGCAACCATGTTGATTCATTTGGGTGCAGAATATTACATACGTATTACAAACATTCTATACCACAAGTGGTCAAGTCAACAAGGAAGCCTTTGGCTTGATAATAATAATCATGGACTAGGAATGTTGCTTGTTTCTCTTGCAAGCGAGACATTGAGAGATGTCACCTCCCCACTTGGTGCTGACTGGCCATTCCCACACTAGCGTCCCCCACTTCCCTGCCCCAGGCACACATCTTCTACACGTGGATGAAGCACAGAGATTCAGAGGCAGTTTGCATCTGAAACCATTTTTGTTGTCTGTCAGTCCAGACAAACCTTTACAATGGTTAAGTGACATTTTAACCAAGTCATAGGTGTGGTTGGTGTGTTACTGCAAAAATATGTATGTTCTACAAAATAAGTGATTCATTACACAGTGTTTAAACGGATTGAGAGCTGTACGGAAGACAAATGTAATTAACATAGGAGTTAACCCCTCGGTCCCTAGTAATTGCTCAGTTGACTGGCATTATAAGGCCAACTACTCGAAATTAGAAAGTAGAGTGTTTTCTGTCTGTTGCCGCAGGCTGTTTTATTTTTTTTTTTCCCAGTGATCTTCAGTTACTAGCATATCTGGGGGGAGCAGAACCTGTTCCAGGCAGCAGAAGGCAATCAGATTCAAGATTGAAGATTCTTTATTTGTCACATGTAGTTATAGCTGGTACAACGTACAGTGAAATGTGTTTCCCTGGCTGAAAAAAGTACTCTCCGACTGTGCTAGACATACCAAAAAATGACAGGTGAGAAATAAGTACTCAACAGAGGATACGCATCCATTGCAGGGTATCACACATACAGACACAATCATACTGTAGCCTAACAGCCTCTGGACTGGAGACCAGAGTATCCATAGGACAAACAAACCCACAAAGAAGACATGGAAACTCCACACAGACAGGAGGTGGGATTTGAACCCCCAACACTGGAGAAGTGAGGCAACTTGGCCTTTTTATTCGTGTCATACAGAAATTTCATTCATGTCATAGAAATCGTTATGTACTTATTTCAGAGACTGAGTCTTTTTAAAATATGATTTAAAGAATTTTATGTAACCAGAACTTCTGCTGCCATTTGACCAGTTACTATTTTGACCTGAACTCCCTTTCCCTTGTTTATAGATCCAAAGTGCAAATTGTTAGACAGTCACCATTTGACCAATCAACATTTGACCAGTCACCATTTGACCAATCAACATTTGACCAGTCAACATTTGACCAATCATCGTTTGAACAGTAACTCCATAAATATGTCAAGTGTTATATAATTTTGAAGAAAGGCACCGTTTTCAAACTTCTTTCATTTCGTATTTATATTTAGTATCAGGTCACGTCTATGGCACATACATTGATGGTAATATAACCATGTTTGTTTTTACTGAGTGTGTTTCTTATGAACTTTTGCAGAATTGTCACGACATAATTGTCAATAAAGCTGTATTTGAAAATGCCAGATTTGTTTTATTCAAGGTTAGCTCCATGACGTTCTGTGGATCTGGATTCAAATGCTTCAGCTGCTGCCAGTTTAGATATTTGTTTCTTGAAATTCAACAATTGTTTGTTCTACATATGGCCCCATATAATCATTGTGTTTTATACTTGAGTGTATCCTCTCAGCTGTGCTAGGGATATTTAATTTAATCAAAATGGCCAAACCAGGTAAGCACAGTCAACCAGCTCAATGTAATTAGTAGTCCTCATCAGTTACATCTGAAGCATATTACCAACCAGTATCATATAGTAGAGGAAGAGATGAGAAGTTTGGCATGAACATTCTGCACGGATAGACATCCTAACTGTTGGTAACACAGAATATGTGTCTTACTCCGTGACACGTGGAATGTATCATTTCAAACTGAGAGCCGTACCTCCTTTCTTTATAGATCCAGTGTGCAGATTGTGAGTGATGTATGAGGCTGAGAGATTATCTGTAACTTAACCCCACTGAGAAAAACACCTTGATCTAGGCTGCTTCCTCTCTGTTCCTGGGAGCACGTCCTAATTTTGCTGAACTCAATGCATCCTTGGGTCAAAAAGGGAGGGTCTTGCGTTTAACCAATCACAGTCTTCATCACATGACCTCACCACATCAGTCCATTCTTTCCCATTTTCTCAGCAAACTCAGGATGTTCGTTCCTGGGGTGTAACTTGCATCCATTCATCTCCCCAGGTAATAGACCCTTGTACTTAATTTATAATGTAGCAGAACCCCCCCCTTAATATCAAACTCTCGCCTACACTGTTGGGCGTAATCCCTTTAGCATCCTATCTCACTACAATATCTGCACCTCATTACCATAGGTTATGTCATTCCATAACTTCTTTTGGTAAATCATTCTCATTGCCAGGAGAATTTTTGCTGATGTAATTACTGAGACAGCTTCACACTTAGAAAGTCCAGTACAGACCCTCTTCTGCTTCAAAACGGCACTTTCTCTGCCTGCCCATAAATAAGCTGTTTCAGTCAGCTGTAGTTTATTTTTGTCGGTTGGTTTCTTAAATCCACCAGGACTCATGGTGAACTTAATAGGGAACCATTAAAATTGAAAGCCCTGTATTGGTTTACTGCTGCTGACAAAAAGAGTCAATGTGTGAAATTTGATAGGTTGGAAAGATGAGTATGTCCTGCAAGGTCCATCTATGGTGTGTCTCTAATTACTGCGTGTGTGTGGCGGGGGAATTAACACCACAGGCAATATAATTTTTTTTGCAAGCTTACTACCATTTTTGCTGGTACGTCAACCCGTAGAGACAGGTTTCTTTCAGTCATGTACTTGGAACAATCCATGTGATTTGCTGAAAAATTAAATGGAAATAGCACTGAGTAACGGACTAGCCTGGGGGGGGGGGGGCTTAAACCACAGCCATCATTCTTGCCACACAAGAGAAGTGGCAAGAATGTCCGGCTTAGTATGCAAGGTGAGTTTGACGATACTGTCACCGTTTTTCAGTACATCTTTATGATTTGCTTCCTTTGGTGAAGAAATTCACAGTTCTGGATACTGGCATCAATACACATTAATGAGTTATCAGTCCATGTGGTTTTACTGGCCTTGTACTTGGAGTATATGCTTATGATCTGGATCTTGAGTGAGGGGTTGTGTTGTTTGTAGGTCGGGGGTGTCAAGCTGCAGTCCTGGGGGGCCGGAGCCCTGTGTAGCTTAGTTCTTTCCCTGTTCCGCCACAAATGATTCATATCAAGAGCTGTGTGGTAATTAGCACAAGGAGTTGAATCAAGTGTGTTAAATGAGGGGAAACCCAAAACTGTGCAGGGCCCTAATCCCCCAGGACACCCCTGCTCTAAGTGGCCCGTGGGAATCCCAGTTAAAATGGCCACATTAGGCTGAATCAACTATAGGCACATTTTCATGCCTTGCGTCCATTTTCCATTATGTACAGGTGTGTGGACTCACTCTGACATGTTCACCTTAGACTCAAATTTGCACATGAAATGATGCAGAAGTGGCAGGAATTGACACTGCCTTGTTTTTGTTACACGTTCAAAAATGGCTAAACATTTTTTAAATCATATTGGAAACTCCTCTCGTTATAGCTAGCTCTGTAAGGCACGATGGAATGACCAGGTAGATGAATTTGCTGAACGTTTGTTCAGAATGTAAGATGTCTGAGGTGCCTGAATGCATAGCTATGTCTCTGTGTGTATCAAATGTGTCTTTTCTTAATAGTTTTATGAATTGTTTTCAGTTTGATGTATGTATGGTACACAAAGGCTATGTCCTAGTTAGCTGTGAGTGTCGTGTGTGAACATCAGTCATGTTTCCACACCGGCAACTTTCCGTGAAGTGTCTAACATCTCCCTGATTGGCAGGATGAAGATGAGCAGACGCGATTGGCCAGCATGCCAGGTTGGAGGCGGGACATCCTGAAGAAGAAGCTGAACAATGAGAAGTAAGTGGAGGCCAGTGGTACTTGAATGCCTGTTCCCTGCTATCACAGTAGATATTTGGACTGCTTTCAAAAACAGATTTCATGCTTCTCTGCACTTGTCATTTTCTAAAAATACATTTTTAGATTTCTGGGTCGGGCAGGGAGCTAAAGTGGTAAGAATTTCTTTGTGGGCCACCTTGTATTCTAAGAATATTATTTAATAATGAATGGTAAATGTTGCCATCAAAATCTCTTGTTATTGTCCTTAAGAAATCTCTCTCATTCAAAAGACTGAAAAAAATTGTAACAATGTTGCCATCTGGTGGTCAATTGTAAAACAAGCCCACCTTCCTGTGATTGGTGCACAGGAAAGAAGAGGAGCGACAGAGGGCGAAGAAGGAGCGCGAGGAAAAGGCAGCGCTGCAGAGGCTCCACTCCTTGGGCTACGACGAGACCAAGCTGGCTCCATGGCAACGGCAGGTCATCCTGAAGAAACGAGACCCAGCAAAGCAGTAGTCTTGTTATTCCTGCCTAGCCCACATCCCTCTGCGAAGGGCTTGCTAGGCGACAGTGTCAGAGACGCCCACATTCGAGCGACGCACCCTGGAAACACTGGACAACCGTCTAGCATTACTTGTTTCTTCAGTATTACTGAGATATCCTCCTCTGCGCTGCCCAGCCAGCCTCGCACTCACACTTGTGTGATTAAATGTACCCTGAGGTAGGCCCATGTGCCTTGTGGGTAAGGTGGTAGCATGATCAGGACCAGGTTCAGGACATCACCAGTAAACACATTTCGGAGAGAGAGTCTCGAACCCAAGGCTGCATGCTCTAACAGCTCATAGAAGGAAATCAGTATTATGTTACTTTTTTGCACATAGTATCTGTGTTATATGTCTAGGTTTGATTTTCAAGTACATGAGCATGTCTTACATTTTTATGCAATCCAGTTTGCCTGGGGTGTTAAAATACCCCAGAATAGGCAGGGATGACTTCATTAAGACTTAAGTTGTATTAGTACATGTAATAATAGGTGGAGAGTTTGAAAATGCGTGTCCTTTCTAATGCTAACTCTAGAACTAGGCTTACACAGTTTGGGTTTCTCTGACATGATCTCTGTTGAGGTCTTTAATTAGCGATGAACCTCAACCAAGAGCATTCTGTTTATGTGGATGGTCACGTGTGGTCTATTTGTGTTAGGATGCATAAGCAGTATGTGAAATAAGTAGCCTAAGTGTACTTATTTGCACATATATCTGCTGTAAGAATAAGAATGATCAGCGCAGAGATCAAATCCTGGTACTAAGAACCCATTGCCTGAATTTAATCAGGTGCCGTGCTGTGTGACAACAAAACAAACCATTGTTATGTAATGTGCAAAACGAAATCAGGTGAAGGACGAATATAGGGTTTCTTATGCATGATTCATGGGTTCATGGTTGAGAAACAACCATATCCTGCTCAAAACTCAAAATATGTTAATCATGTGCCGCCAACCTACAGGAACTCCACAGTGATCTCCGTGTAATTGACACTAGCTGCCAGCGTCCCCTTAATTTCTGCCACAGTAGGTGAGAGTAGTCCCCAGTGGCAGCACCAGTGAGTCACTGTATGCCGCTGTATCTTTTCCCGTAATGTACTGTTACCATCAACGTGTCCAGGCTTCTGTACGTACGTCCCATATGTTTATGTTAATAAAGCAATATATATATTTCACCTGTAACTGCGAATTAAACGCCGTGTGAATCACTGACAGCAGCTCCTGTCTGTGTTTGCCCGTTTCCATGCGTTTCACGCCCCCTGGATTGACAGTCAGCTTTAAACAGCAGGCGGCGCTTCGGTCCTGCGAAATGTCATGTCAGTGATGCCGGATGTTATCGCAGTGCCGTCGCTTCAGCCGCCTCACGCATATGTGTTCCTGGCTTTCCAAGTTTGAAGGTAAGTGCATTGCAATTTATTGCCATCGATTTGAAATACAGTATTCCAGTCGCTGGTGACAAGAACCCCGGTTCGGTACCGCTGAGGTGAGCCGCACACCTGCGTGCGCCGCGTCGGGAACTGGAGGTCTGGGCGGACTGGTGGGAGGGGAGCAGGGAACTGGGAGGGCACATCGGCGATTCGGAGCCCGGGAACCCCTCCTCACCTTCGCCTTCATACCTTTATTTTACTTTTTTTTTTTAAAAAAAATAAATAAATAAACCTGGCTCGTTTATCGAAGCGTTTTTTTCCACTGTCGGATCGAGGTAATGAGTCTTTGTTAAGTTTTCGCGTGATTTGCGGGCGGCTTTCGGAAAGCCGTGTTTCCCTGGAATGGAACCAGCTGACGCTTCCCTGCTGAACTTTCTAAGCAGCACGGCGGCTTGTTTCTGACCAGTTAAGAAAAAAAACAGCGTCCGAGCTGCTTTTGTTCGGAGCGAGTTGACAGGCGTGTTATTCAATGTGTTATTCTATATGCTGATCTGACTCCAAACCAAGGTGCATAAGGACATGTTTTACTGTTTAATGTGATAGAGCAGTTTTAACGCGTCTTACGGCTTCGGTATGTGTGCATGTTCAGTTTGGCGTATCTCTTTACATAAATTCCAGGTGACGTCGGTGATTTATTTCTTTTACGGTTGTATTCCTTAGTTGCGCTGTATAGGTTATAGACACCCTGCCATCTGCGATCATTCAAGTAACATGTAATTAAGATTTTAATCTGCTAACCAGTGGTTGTCCCGTACCGAATAAAACCAAGTCGCAAAGTTTTTAATGGGATAAACCTGGTCGCCGTATTATTTTGTAATATATTTATGCTATAGTTATAGCCTATGTCGAGGCTTCGGGAGGGAGTTCACGTTCTCCTGCCCAGTTTAAGGGAGGGAAGCCCTCTTCAGTTAAATGTGATGTGACACACGCGAATAATATTCCCTGCTTTAACACTTTATACATGTTGGATGTCAGCTGCCTTTTTTTTGAGGAGATCGGGATATTGTTTGTGTGCCGAAATTTCTGATTTTTTTTTAACGTTTAAAGCTACGGACACAAAGTTCACTCTAGGGTTTCACCGGCTTGCCCTGGCCTACAGATAAGCAGCTGCTCAAAGTGGATTTTAACCCTTTCATTTTTTCTCCAGACCAAGTCCTGCACCCCACCTTGATCCCCACAGGGGGTTCGGTGATGCGCTGGTAGAGGCCGGTGCTGTCACCGCATTGACGGCCACGTTTGGACGGGTCATTTCCGAGGTACATGTCAGGCAGACAGCTGGACGGAGCTCGCTCCAGACTGATGGGGGAGCCGAGGTCCGCAATGCTGGAGCATCGGATGTCTGCTTTGCAGCTGGATGGTCACTCGAACCTCGGAGGCTCTCTGGAGGACCTTCCACACCCGGCAGATGCCCGGGACGAGCTGGGTCGGAGGGGAGTGGTGCTTAGCACCCAGAGCAAGGCGGCTCAGAAAACTGGGAAAGAGCAGATCATCCCGCGAAACCTGGCAGTATCCAGTCGTCCCAAGGCTCGCCACCACACTACCGTAGTCACCCTCCCTGCTTCTCTCGGTGGACAGAAGGACAAGCGACCGTCAGCCCCTGGCCTGCAGCTGTCCTGGGAGGACTGCGACAGCGAGGGCGATGGTGGTTCGCTGAACCGGAACCGCAGAAACAAGTCATACCGGGCCGCCGTGGACTTTCTTACCGGTGGACAGACGCCCGCTGACCTGGATGCCCTCGCCCTGAACCCCGCCAGCAAGGAGCCGACACGGCGTGGGCCGCAACGCAGCAAGGCAAGTAGTGCTTGTCCTCCAGAGGGGGTGACTTCCCAGATGGAAGCTGCTGTTGGACCCATGGGAATATGTAAACTGTATTAAGTAGGCCTACTTCCCAAAAGGATCCAGTGACTGATCTGTGCTGGGATATATAGCCTAATAGATAATAGTCGCATTTTTTTTAACTATAACTCGTTTACAGGGTTACGTTCTTATGAACTCATCGTAAGTGGAAAATACATTACGTCAAATATGAATTTGATATGATAATTAATTGAATAGCCTACTCTACTGTCACCGAATAAGTAAAAACGTAGTTACGTTGTTAATCGGTGTATGAGATCTTTACGCTCACAATCGCTAAGTAAACTGGAAGTGTGGCTGCGCAAATGCTGCCATCGTCCAGCATCAGTAGAAAGTCTTGTACGGCATATCGCCAGCCCGGGACCAGATCAGAATTCAGTGTTGACTACTGTTTGTGACTCGGTATCGTGCTTCGTAAAGTCGAACCATCATAAAGTGAGGAGCATCTGTACTTTTTCTTGCCTGCACAAGAAAGAAGTTTCCAAATATGAATCCAAACATCATTCCAAAACTTCAAAGCATGACGGATTCATCTCCGTGACTGAGCGATATCATATCGATATTGCATCGCGCATGTGCAATAATCACCAGGGCTTCAGATGACAGGCGCAACATTTGGGCATGCGCCAACTTTTCGGTGAAATATGGACCTTTATTTACGTCCACAATTTAGCCATACTACTAAACTGCTTAAAATATTAATGAGGCTTTGTATGACGTCCAAAAGTCATTGTTAGTATAAATACGGCATATCCTTATGTTTCATAAATGTGTCAGACTTTGAACTGCAAAAAGTACCACCACACAGCCGACGTCTTTGTACGTTGTTTATTCACAAGATCTCCTCTTTTAAAAGATGTCGTGGCTGCTCTTCTTCACCGCGACTTCAGTGCATATTGCCCTGAGGTATACCAAACCGCAGTGTACCAAAACAGTATTATGTGAGGTGCTCCGCAAATCGAATTTAAGAAACATAAAGTTTATACAGATTACTAACTTTTGGGTATCACAAAACGCATCTCATTAATATTTAAGCCATACTACTAATCCTCTTACCGAATTATAGGTGTAAATTAATGTCCGTATAGCACCGAAAAGCTGGCGTCCAGCCAAATGCTTCCTCTGTCATTTGAAACCCTGGTGATTATTGCGCATGCGCGATATAATATCGCTATGATATCGCCCAGCCCTACCACATCACAGTTTCTGGTGGATGTGGAATGTGATTAGCCTGCAGCAGTAGTGGAGATCCTGCTTTTTGGTCTCTGTGGAAGGCATTCAGATAGGAGCTGTTTCTCTTGCGATGCTGCCATATTTGTTGCTCCACATCTGCTAATCCCCTTCTGCTCCTGTTTGTTGCAGAGGACCATTGGATGGAAAAGGAACCAGAAAATCAGGAGTTCTTTCAAAGATGGTGAGTGTACAGGGCCAGCCAAAGGCTTTAATAAAACCTGAAGACAAATGATCACAAGACAAATAATCTCTCTCCTCCTTTTGTATTTGAAGGCTTTAAGTTTTATTGCACTGTAGCTTTAGGATTTGATTAATGGGAGTCAAAACGAAAGCCCTACAAAATTGCATTCGTGTGTGTGTGTGTGTGTGTGTGTGTGTGTGTTCATTCCACAAGTACACTCTGTATACTAATTTTTTCCTAACTGGCTATTTTGTTGATTTCATTTGGCCTTCCATAAAAAAGTTGGTCAAAGGACTCTCAGTAATTATTCCGTTGGTCTTTTAAATATACAATTTCATGTTATTGATAAAATGTATTTAATGCGGCTATTGAGCTGTGTGTAGTAGATTTAACAATTTGGTCATGGTGCTTTTAAGAGCGATATTGAGTCTGAGGAAACCAAGAGTAGAGTGCCCCAAGGGGGTGTTGTGTTGTCTCTGCACACAGAGCCCCGGCTGTACCAGGAGATCCGAGAACGAGGCCTGACCTCCAACAATCAGAGTGCTGATGACGAGTTGCTTGATGATACGCAGGCTGAGCCACCAGAACCAGACCGTAGCATCGTGGTCCAGAGCTACAGGCCTGCCTATATTACCTGGGGCCAACTGCCACAGGTGAGCGAGTGATTGTGATGGTGTCCCCCAAGGTTCCACACCGAGTCCAGGCAGCATCACCAAAGCACTGATATCCAGCTGTATGCTATCAGATGGTGGTGCAGCTTGTTCCTTGGAGATTGTAGTTCACTCTGTATAGTATGGGAATAGGCAGGTAAAAATTGGAAATGGGCCCAAATTAGATTTAATAAGTCACAATGTTATATTTTCCTACCAAATAAATATACATAAAATTCACGTGATTATGTTTAACAGTTTTCACTCTCATTTCCCCAGTGGGTTTTGCTATGATTCTCCTGAAATACTTTATCACGCTTTATTTTGTACCTAGGTTAGTGGATTTTTTTGCAGGTTTGTATGAGTAAATAGAAGGTGAGTCTGACTAATAGAATGTTGAAAGATCAATGCGTTTAAATGCATAATTTCAATGCAGTCTTTGAAAGAAATAATGGCAAGGCATAGATTGGCAAAAAGAGTAAGAAATATCCTTTATTTTTGTGAAAAATTTCTAGACAGAGAAAGAAGTTTAATCTGAAGCCTCTTGGAACAGTTTTTACCTTTTTCTCCAGTACCTATTGGGAATGAATAGACTGTAAATTAAGTTTAATAGGAATGTCTTTGCAGTTATATAGTAAGTTACACAATTCCTTTACATTGATGTTTGTGAATCATACTGGAATTGGGCGGATAGGGTTTGACAGATTGGAACTCATAGTCCAGAGGCCTCTCCTTTCACTATTGAGTAATATGGCCCAGTCGGGCTTTGGTCATGTCTTTTGTTGTGGTCTTGAATACGGAACGTCTTCTGTCCGTTTTCAATGTCGCTTGCCGCTACATGTAGCTGACGTGCGTCAGGCCGCAGCCCCCGCGCTGCCCTCCATCTCAGGTCCCCGAGATGCGTGTAACCCAAGTGCCAGCAGTCATCCTGGGCAAATGAGAGGCCAAGAAGGTGAGACAGGAACCTGAAAACAGATCTGCCTGAAAAGGCAACAGAAACAGGGAGAACCTGTTCTCAGATACCAAGAAGCTGAACTGATTCAGATTGGGTGGGTAATCTGTCAGGTTATTCAGTGCATAAGGCAGTGTGGACTGTTATTACCAATGAGCGAATGCCTAGAGGGGCCACAGAACGAGAACGAAGGGAAGATGGGATGCAGAGGGAAAGAGGGGATACTTACTGTGGCCTGGCTACTCTGTCCTAAACTGTACAAGTGATGAAATCCAAACGGTGGTGATAAAATAGGATGTGTGTCTTTTAGGTGAAAGAAACCGGTATTCTCCTGAATATATCGGCATCAGAGAGGAAGCGACAGGAGGTGAGTGGAGGAATGTTTGCTTTTTCTGTTAAACTGCAATAATGGTGAAAAAATGACCAAAATTGGTTAGCGCTGTCAGCTCACACCCTGGGGCATGCTGGTTTGATATTTTACCCCATTTCTTTGTCCTCGATTGTCCATGTCCTACCCATGCACAGGACTCCTCTCACTTTCTAAAAGCATGTGACTGGATGAATTGCTTTCTCTAAATTACTCCTACTGTCCGTTTGCCCTGAAACAGTCTGGCATCCTGTATAGGGTGTCTCTTGCTTTGTGCCCTATTCTCCTTGGCATTGTCTCCAATCTGGAGAAACGGTTATGGAAGATGTTAGGATGGTCGGAGTTCATTGTTTGGCGCTCTCTGTCACAGCCCTCTGACACACTGGTGTGTTTTCAGGCCATATTTGAAATCATCACATCCGAATACTCATACCTGCACAGTCTGAACATCCTGGTACGTCACTTCAGGGCCAGCAAGGAGCTGCATGACACCATGACAGCGACAGAGCATCACCATCTCTTTTCGAACATCTTAGACATCCAGGCTGCAAGTCACCGGTGAGTGATGAGGCGGGGGCATTCGGGAACATGGTTCTGTAGAAAGGAATGGGGAAGGACCATTATTTTGAAGGTCCAGGATTTAGATGTTCTTGTTGATTTTTCTTCATGAGGTTCTTGTTGAGGTTCATTCTACGAATTTCTAAGGTATGACGATACAGACGGTTTCGTTTTTCTGCTGAAACTTTGTCAAATGTAGCATGATTGTCCCTTTAGGAAGAAACTGCTAAAATAGACAGATGCAGGCAAAAACACGTAGACCTGATTCGCTCCTCAGTCTCACTCTTTCCTAAAGCCAATGACTTGTATACAGTTTTAATGTATGGAGGTGAAGGGGCGTATGAAATCTTGGAGCCTGGTCCTGTCAGAGAGTCAGGTAACATGCAATGATGGGTCACAACATGCCTGTCAGACTGGTTTCACAGGCAAACTCTGGGGTAAAGGGGGGGGGGGTCAATTTAGAAATCTCCCCCCACTTTATGGTCCTGCATGTGGCAGCCTGTTGGGCTTCCCTGCCATACAAGGCCAGATTTTTCCTGATTCTGGCAAGTCGGGAGTGTTTTGACCTGCCAATCCGTGGAGGAGTTTTCGTCTAGAATGGCATGGACCATGTCCAGAATTATCGAAAGCATTCTTTTCATGCCAAGAGACACAGATAAGCAGTGAAGTTCTTGGTGTCGGGATCCTCTCATACCACCATGGCCAGGATCAATCAAGCACTCATGATATGTGATCCTCATGAGCCTCCAATCTTACAGGGGGAGCTGATCTTTCTGTGCACTATAAAAGCACGGTTGTAGGTATGTGAACACAAGTGGTTCTCTAATGGATTTGTTTGTGGATAAGGCATTGATGTGGCTCATTAACTGAAGGCATACCTCTTCCTCCTCAGTTCGCACTAGATGTCTGTACTGAAAACAGGCCTGGACAGGACATGTATCACGCCTCAGGGGGTTAATGGGGTTCGGAGAGTGCTCCCCCATACGTGACAGACCCTGTCCAATCCCGCAAATTTTTCAGGTTTTTTGATGACCTGGAGAGACGGCACCGCGAAAACCCTTTGATCCGTGACATCAGCGACATCATACACGACCACGCGGCAAACCACTTCCAGCCGTACATCAACTACTGTGCCAATGAAACTTTCCAGCAGAGGGCGCTCCAGAAGCTGCTGTAAGTGCCACAGCCTGGGATCAGGCCCAAGCTACAGTTGCCTGTGCACTTCTCTGCCTGTTTGGACATGAAGGGTTTCAAGTAACTGTGGATTTACTTTCAGTTTGGGGCCTTTCTGCGCAACACAGAAAGACGGAGGAATTTAGCCCTTCCCTGCGTATATATTTCCTTTAAACATGCAGCACAATTGCATGCTCTTTTATGAGCCGTTATGGTGACCTCACACCTTTTAGGTTGTAGGTGTGATTCTTACTGTGGCTCTGTGTATGAATTCACATACTCTCTGCACTGCCCCTGTGGTTTATATGGATTTGTGTTGGTAGTGTGGAAGTGTGTTCCTGCCTTGCTTAAGTGGTTGTAGAAAATTGATGCATTTTTTTAGGTAGTATTTCAGGATAATTATTATAGGCTATAGTAAGAAGTATTGCACTGAAAAATAAGATGTATTGTTTTAAAAAATTTTATTTTGGGAAAATGCATAGCACATAATACATAGTAATCAAGGTCAAAATGAGTGATGCAGTGAAAAACAGGAGGAAGAAAATCTAAAAATAAAAAAAATGGATAACTAAAAAGTAAAAGGAAAGGGTAAAATTCTGCAGTTGCTTACAGCAAAAATGGATGTATGGTTAACAAGATTTTGTCTGTATCTGTGTGTTCGTGTATGTATGTGTTTGCTTGTGTGTGTGTAACTGTACCTACGTGTTTGCTTGTGTGTCTGTGTATATGTTTGCATGCGTTTCTGTGTATCTGCATGTTCGCGTGCATGTCTGTGTATCTGTCTTTGCGTGTGTGTGACCATGCGTGTCTGTGTATTTACATGTTTGTGCGTGACCATGCATGTCTGTGTATCTACATGTTTGTGCGTGACCATGCGTGTCTGTGTATCTACGTGTTTGTGCGCGTGACCATGCGTGTCTGTGTATCTACGTGTTTGTGCGTGTATCCATGCGTGTCCATCTGTGTATCTATGTGTTTGTGCGTGTGACCAAGCGTGTCCATCTGTGTATCTACGTGTTTGTGCGTGACTGTGTGTATTGATGTGTTTGTGCATGTGCATGTAGGTCCTCCAGTGGCCCTTTTAAGGAGGTGCTGAAGCAGATCGAGATGAAGCCAGAATGTGGAGGACTTCCCATGCTCTCCTTCCTCATCCTGCCCATGCAGAGGGTGACCAGGCTCCCGCTGCTCATGGACGTAAGTCTGCCGCACGCGTTTCCCAGCCCTCTCTGCCACCCATGCGCACTCTCCTAGAGCAGGACCAGTGCTCGCCTGAACGATGGCACCTTCACTCTCTCTCTCTCTCTCTCTCTCTCTCTCTCTGCAGACCATCTGGCAGAAAACGGCCAAGGACACGGCTGAGTACTTTGCTGCAGAATGGGCATTGAAGGCCATCAGCAAGGTATTCTGTTTATAAGGGCTTCTAGTTACACCATAGTTCTGGCAAGAATCAGCCCATTTTAATCCAGTTCACCGTGATTGACAGAACTGATGATCCATGGATTGTGCAATTTTGTTTCTAACCATATAGCACTGCTCACTTTCAGTTCATAGTCCGTTCACTGCAATTGAGGCAGTAAGTACGGGTATCACCAGTGATCTCATCCCTCGTCCCTCACTGGTCCTGTGTTTTCAGCTGGTAAAGAAATGCAACGACGGGGCTCGGACTATGGAGAGGACTGAGCAGATGTACACGATCCAGCGCCAGCTTGACTTTGGCAAGATCAAGGTGCTGGCATTCACCAGTGACCCTGGATCTGGGTTTAGGTGTAGTTTCAGTGTGACAGGATGTGTGTGTGTGTGTCTCTCCATAGCCCTTTCCACTCATCTCCGTGTCCCGCTGGCTGCTGAAGCGGGGCGAGGTGGCCACGTGTTCTGAGGACGTCAGCATCTGGAAAGCCTTCAGTACAAAGAGCTACTACCTCTTCCTGTTCAATGATGTGCTTATTATCACCAAGAAGAAGAGGTGGGAGTTGCTGGCTGTGTCTGCGGTGGGCCTGCTGGTCACCTTTTCTTTTGTATAGTACTTGGATAGCCTCCGATACTCTTTGGTGTTATATCAGAGCAGCATATACCTATGAACCAAAACATTATGACCACCCCCACATTAAGTGGTTAATGTTGACCCGTTCATAAAAATGATGCAGGTCAAGGTCTGGGATATATCAGATGGTAAGGTAACATTCAGTACTCATAGCTGACATGTTGAATGCAGAAGAAATGGACAGGGATCAAGATCTGAGGGAGTCTGATAACGGTCAGATCATTATGGTCAGACGACTGTCAAAGCAACTCCAAAACGGCAAGGCTTGTGCTCACAGTTGGCTTTGGTGAGTTCCTACTGAGAGTAATCTGAGAAGGGAAAAACCACTATCCATCAACAGGGTGTTGGGCGACCAAGACTTGTCTATGTAGGATGTGAACGAAGGTTGTCCCATCTAGTACATATCTAGTACTTTGATGCAGATAATTTTGACATAGGAGTGCTATGCCACAACAAGCCCTGCCTCATATATGGGGCTGCGTAGCCGTAGATTGGATTTGTTGGTCCAACGCATCTCAGAGATGCTTGACATGTACCCGGTTGTCCACGAGACAGAAAATGACATTTGTCAGACCAAGCAAATTTCTTCCATTGCTCCAAGGTCCATTTCCCATGCTTGCATGCCCATTGTAGGTGCCTTTGATAGTGGGCAGCGGTTGGCATTGGTAGTTTGATTGGCCTCCGCTTATGCAGCCCCATGACAGGTAGGATAGTCTTCATTCTCATCTCACGTCTTGTCGACAGATTGTGGCATTTCCCTGCTCGGACTACTCTACGATTGACGCTTAACGTGATATCAACATGGTTGGTGTGACAGTGTTTAAACGGTGAAAGAATCCAAAGGGGAAAATTAAATGTGATTATTATATTCACTGAAGCAAATACTAGTGTTCTGCAGTGATATACATGCATCAAGTTGCTTCTGAGGAATCCCTCTCTCACGCACACACAGTTGTGTGCTGTGGAACTTCTTCAAATTAGGATCCTGGACAGGTACACCTGGAGGTCACGTATTTGTGTGTGCATTCCAAGTCAGGATGACATGGTCGTTAGGACAAATGGGTAAAATGTACCATGAGCCCCAGAGATTAGATTTCCCCGATGCCATAACCTGCCTCAGTTTGTAAAGTTTGCATCTTTTCTGCCTAATCCAGAAGACTTTCGAAAGACATTGTTTCTTCCGGTGATGGCTGCAATTCTGCTTGAATTATAACCTCGATTTGACCTGCTTGGTTTAGAGTAAAGAGAGCAGGTTGAGGTCGGATGGGCACACTGCCTTGGAGCGCTCACCTGCGTGTGCCGTGTGTTCCAGTGAGGAGACCTATGTGGTGATGGACTATGCTATGCTGGAGAACCTGGAGGTGGAAGCGGCACAGTGGGAAGGACAGAGCTCACCTTCGCTGAAGCAGGGCGGCTCCAGCCCCTACCCCCTCAGGATCTTGATGAAGAAGAACAGTGAGGGACGTGAGGAGCACATGCCGTTAGCGGCGGAGTCTCAGTGAGTCCCCCCTGCTGTTCAGTTTCCCCATCAGTATAAATGACACCCTGGCTCCCTCTGCTGGTGGCTCTTCTCTAAAAACTGTCAGTAGCAGCTAGACTAAATCACCCTTAAACGCTGGCAAATTGCTGCTGCCAGCTCATATTTGGCCCTTAAAAGGCATTTTGTTTCTGTCCTGCTGTCAGGCTGGATCGTGATCGATGGGTGGCGGCTCTGCAACACAACAAAAACACAGACAGTGTGCCAAACAAAGAGGGTGAGTTTAACACTGTCCAGGATACCCTGGGGCAGTCAAGGCCCCACCCACTTAATACGCTTAGTCCTGTTATTACGTGAAATGTGTTGATGGGACAGTGGATGACAGACAAATTTCACCGGGGGCTTTGTGTGCATAAGTGTGACTTTAGTTTGTTGTACAGTCTCTCCTTATTCCTATAATGAAATCTGGATTAAAAAAAATGTACTTTAAAGTACCATTTTAGCATTTTCCTGCCATTTGATGTTTGCCAATATACTTTGTTGTAGTGATGAGTGAAACATGGCTGTGCTAGTCAAACAAGGAATTAATTCACTACTTCCTTGCCGATGCCTGGTTAATATTCAGCGACCTTGGTTGCGAATGAGTCGGCAAACACACAGAAGACCAGTAAACTCTTTCTGCTTCCAGACCTGCCCCAGTATGAGGTGACGAAGGCTTATCTTCCCAGGGAGTCGGACGAGCTGGGACTGCAGCAGGCTGAGGTCGTCGTCGTGCTGCAGGGCCGAGGCGGTAAGAAGGGGGGAAGCGAAATCCCAGTTTGGGTGGGATTGTGGGGGCGAACTACACCCCAAGGTAATACCCCAGTTCGTCTCTCCCAGACTGGTACCGCGGTGAGAGAATGCGCGATGGGGAGCAAGGCTGGTTCCCAGCCAGCTGTGTCACAGCGATCACCAACCGCGCAGCTGTGGCCAACAACTTGCGCCGAATGGAGCGGCTGCGGAAGGAGACCAATGTCTGAAGAGGGCGAGGAACACACAACCCCTCCCCCATCCCTCCAGACTTTTGTCCTGGCACTGGTACAGCATTACGCAACCGCATGTTTTTAGCATGCAAAACACACCTGTAGGCATGAGACATGAACAGACTGTTCTGAATGTCCAGGATGTTTTCAAAATAACTCAGAGGGACAGTGCCGAGTGTCTAGGGCTGTTCCGAATGCTTTAAACACTGCAGTAAGAGACAGGAATACTGAGCATGTACATGTTAAAACGTCCATCTTTTTAAAGCTCAGGGCCAATGGGGTTGTTTTTAATAATTTTAATGGTTAAACCTGGGTGCCTCCGTTGTAAAGGCCCTAAGTACAACATGTGGCACTAGGGTGTCGGGACGGTGTCTACGGAATGAACTCTTGCAATAAAACAGTTAAACTTTGTATTTGACTTTTATTTGAGCTTGCCTTTTAAAATTCATGTTGTGTACATAAAAACTTCATTTAAAAATGTCAAATTGACCAGATATCAAATAACTGCTTTAAAAACGATTTGGTGTAAAAAGAAAACCAATTTTACAAAAAACGTGTCATTTCCCCCAATAAAATTCATTTGAAGCGGTCATAAAATGGGAAAACGGCTGCATAGGTGAGCAGGCGATAGGTGGTCATCTGGTCGAACATGGCGCAAGCTTTCAGGATCGTCAAGTCAAATCTGGGTCTTATTGCTCGTTTCTTTGATGTTTCTTCATGTTGACGTGACTGTAACAGAAAAAGAACCCGTCAGGATGCGATTCTCCTTATCCAACTGCGTCTTAGTGACTGGTGTGTAAATGCCACGGCTCTTTGCATGCATGATATGGGACACCCTTCACCAGGACCACATGTGCAGACTGCATGGGGACTGATGCGGCTCCTACCCGGCAGATGGTACAGATGGTACTCCGGTCTTTACTCAGCCCCGCCCTGCTCGGCCTGGGGAGCGGGCGGCTTCTCCGCTGGCATCTCGGCGGCTTTGTTCTCCTTGCCCTCTTGAGGCTTTGTGGTTTGTGGGCGTCTGCGGCGATAGTTGAAGTTGCGGCGGTACCGGCGCTGACCTGGATCCTGGGTCTTGGCTCCGTCGCCCTGGTTCTCCTTGTCCTCCTCGTTGATGCCATCTCGGGGAGGTCTGGGACGGGTAGCACCCCTGGTCACCACGAGGACCGGAGGGTGCAGTTACCCACAATGTATTTCTGTCCAACTCTATGCGCACCCCTCACAAACAGAACCCTGCCTGTAGTCAATGACCCTATTACCCCCAGAGGCACACAGCTGAACAGACCATGCCACACGATATTTTTCACTAAAACATATCGTCCCAATGGGTCACATGCATTTAACAGCCAATTAAATCAGCTTATTCTCCTTTGGGACAAAGTTCAAAATCTGACCCAATGAATCAGTGGAGTTAAAAGGTTTCCCCTAATTAATTAATTAATTAATTAGTGGGCTAAGCCTGTGTGCCTGTAATCAGAAGGTCACCGGTTCAAACCCAGCCTCAGCACATCTGCGGATCCTTGAGCAAACCCCTGCCTGCTGCTATGGGTGGCTGCCCTTTGCAGACAAAGAGCAAGTTGAGGGAGGCGTAAAAAGAGAATTTCCCCATGGGGGTCAATAAAGTATCTATTATTATTATTACTACAGCAGTAGAAAAATCTGTTTGTGATCAGCAATGGGGGTTGTAACCATGCAATGACTCAATCCATTTAACTCGACAGAACTGGATCAAAATTGATTCAGCCTACCTAACAATTTCAAACCGATCCACAGCTGACAGTAGGAATTCCAACAGTCTTCATATCTGGAATCTTTTCCCAGGCAACCACTGAATTATAACCTCAGGCGTCTTAAATGCTAATTACCAGTCTTAACTCACCTATATTTTGATACTCTGCATCTACAGTGCTGACAGCTTTGGTACAAGCAGCCAGATAGCAGCAAACATTTACTCAGCAACATTAATCATCTGGCAAGAACAAGTTGTTCATCATGACTGGACAGCAGTAGTGGCTTTCTTAGTCATTTTTACAGTTCATTACATAGAAGATATCATAACTGTGTTACTACATAATGTATCTTGATTCTGGCAGACCTCTAACATTATGCCCAGCCTTATAATGTTTGATTTCTGAGACAAATTTAATTATATTTAGTATAGTTGTTACTTTGGGGGTCCTTGAAAAATGTACACTATGCGATAGTGAGACACGATGGAGCTAACTGGGGTTTACTTGCAGAAGCTAAAAATATAAATTATTACACCAAGTGTACTCTGGTGCACAAAGTGTGTCTTTGGACCAATTTAAGTCTTTCGGGGGAGGGGGGGGGTCTGACAATCAATCACCTGGATTAGACTTCAGAGTCAGGAAAAATGCATACAGAACTTCACCTACGCTACTCACTAGTTCCAACAAAGCATCATCAAAGTGATGCATTCTTAAGACAAGGGACAAAACAACTTAAGCTATGTTAAATTTCAAAGAAAAACATAAAACGGAAGGTTACATACCTTCATTAAAGAATCTAACTGAGCTGGTCTGACAGCATTTCATTCCTAACCTCTTCACAATGAAAACTGGTTTAGATATGCAAACTGCTCAAAGCGAGGAACTAGTGATCTGTCCACTGCTGAATTAGAATGTCTCAGAGGCAGCAATTTAGGTACAAATTGCATTCAAACACCAGCACAAAGCAGGTGTCACCCATTCTGGCTAGAGCTGCGGTACCAAGGATTAGGTCACGTTTGTTCTTAGGACACCTGAACTTCAGTTGCCAGCTTCAGAGCAAGATAACTTTTCAATGGCCCCCAAAATGATTGTTACTACAGCCCCGTGCCCATGAGCAGAATGCACACCTGGCGGTGAACCTTGGCCGGAAGCCTCTGTAGTAGTTCTGCCTCATGGGTTTGCTTCCCTGGTCAGGCCTGGCCTGGTTTTCATCTCCTTCACCTGCCTGCATAACACAGACACACAAACCTTTACTTTTTTTTTTTTTGCACACAAAACTCCCCGCTTGCCCATATAAACAGAAATTCATGTTTATCGAGGCCCCAAGCAGGAAGTCAACTCCATACCTCTGTCACCTCCCCACGGGGAGCATTGGTGTAAGGCGGCCGTCGGCCATAGCGGCGACGGACGAAGTATGGGGGGTAGCGACGCCTGGGGGGGAAGTTAGGCCTGCGCTCTTGGGACTGCAGGTCACCGTCTGGGACACTCTCCACTCCCTCCCTCTTTTCCGGTCCTTCTCCCTCCCCGTCGCTGTGGTAGCCCTGTTGGTAGTCGCCACGCGGGGGCCCCCGGCGACGAGGGTACCTCCTGTAGCGGTTCCGGTCTGCAGCATATTTGCTGCCCTGGACAGGGACTCCTCCCGGGCCGGTGACGTTGGCGGCTTCTGCACCCTGCACGACAGGATAGTGGAGTACATCTCAACGGCAGGAGGACACGGCACTGAGGGACCAAGCTTCATTTAATATGCTCGCACAGACCCATACTCAAACACCCACAACCACATCTTAAACATTTTTCAGCATTAGGTGCCGTTGCCTACCCCCGGATCCCCCAGCGGTAAGCGATCTGTAGTGTTAAACACACCAGTGGGCAGCAGAGCCAAAACATCCAGGCATAAGGCAGAAGCAGATGTCTAAGCAATCAGCAAAAGCAACAAGCACAGATCACTGTGGATGGGGCTTAACTGCAGCTCATGTACCTTGTAACCCTGTAACCACTGTCAAGCCGTTTGCCAAGACCCCCAAGAGAAGCCCAAAGAGAGACTGGTGGCCATTACCTTCTCCCCTTCGACTACATCGAACTCAACAGTTTCTCCATCTCCAACACTGCGAAGGTACTTTCTGGGGTTGTTTTTCTTAATCGCAGTCTGTTTGGTGGGGAAACAAGTTACTTCATTTCACATGTCAAGGAAAGACACACAGAATAGAAGCAGTTGAAACACATACAGCACAGATGCAGGACGCATTTCACTGTGTGTTGTACTTTGCATAACTATGTATGTGACAATGAAAGAATCTTGAATATACCTGGTGTACAAAGACATCTTCTTTTGTGTCGTTCCTAACAGGAGGGAAAAAAAACAGTTAAATCCCTCAAATCTGACATTGATATTTGAGATTATAGGTAACCATGTGATGAACAGCTATGTGCAGGACCGGAAAGCCCTCCAGAAAGTGATCCGGGCAGCTGAACGCTGCTGCAGGTTAGCTCTCCCCCTCCATGCAGGACATTTACATCAGGAGATGTAAAACTAGGGCAGCTGGGATTATTAAGGACTTGTCTCACCCCAATAACAGGCTGTTCAAACTCCTGCATTCAGGCAGAAGGTTCCGCGTCATTATGGCCAAGATGGAGAGACTCAGGAGGAGTTTCTATCCCCATGAGATTCGACTCCTCAATCAAGACATGCCACTCTCCCGGTCATAGTGCTATGGTTATTAGTCCAACCTTACACTGCTGTGCTGACACTGTACACTGCACTGCTGACACTGTACACTGCACTGCTGACACTGTACACTGCACTGGCTACAAGCATTTTTTGCACAGTATTTCATTTCATCCTGTAAATTGTATATACTCTCTTTGTAAATTCATAGGGTATTTTTATTTTTTCCATTTTGCACTCTATAATTTATTTACAGTTTATTTTACAATTTATTTTCTAGTTTCTTAGAGTATGAGCGGTTCAGGATACATTTCACTGCATGTTGTACCTGTACAATAATGCATGTGACAAAGAATCTTCAATCTTGATGAACTGTCCGGTGTATATGTTCAACAAATAACATGAAAGAGAAAGGCTGACTAACTGGGGTGGAGGGAGAATAACACCCCCAAAGCCTAAATTATCACAACATTGCATTGAGACAATGTAATGTTGTGATAATGCGCTATATAAATAAAATTGCAATAAAGAAGCAGGGCTTCCTCACCTGTTGATGAAACCGTAACCGTTCCTCACATTAAACCACTTGACCGTCCCCAAGACTTTTGTTGCTGAAAAACAATAAAATGCACAATAACACACACATACGGCAACCCCCGACTAAACACAATGGACAGAAACATTCGGTGACAGATTCATTTTAAATTGAATTTCGACCGAATTCTATTTTAATGATCATGAAATTCTTCAGTTGTATGGGAAAACTGAAATGCAATGCAAACACAGTCGTTTTAAGTGCAACGAAATAGGAAATGCAGGAGCTAGATTAAATTCCAGCTTCAGCCATTTGCTACAGTGATTAGTTTACAGGATTTTACCAAATCGATTTGGTAAAACACTTCTTAAACCAAAAACACTGCTCAGATTAGTTAGACGCCAGAAAAATCCTGTTACCAAAAAATACAATACTAAGCAGAGGTTTACTTTCAATAAACGTTTATTGAATGCAACAA